ACTCTACTTGTGGTCTAAAGTTAAAGTCTTTGAAAACCATCACACCAAGGTCTCGTTCAACTACAGTCTTTTCGAGTGGATAACGCGTGCCGTCAATTTTGGCCATTGAGTGATTGCGCGACTACTTGTTACATGCGCGGCCAACATGTATTACTTTTTATTAAAGTATTACTTTTTATTTTTTAATGTTGAAATGCATGAGCCAAATATGTGACCATTTCACTGCCCTGTCAATGTCAGCTTGAAGAGTGATGCTGTCCATCTTGTTTTTAGTTATCCAATAATTTACTGCCGTCAGCATACAGTTTAGTATAATGACTGATTCATTAATGAAGATTATAAAGAGCAATGGGTCCAAGACCGATCCTAGAGGCACGTCACTAGTGACCGCTAGCCATTCAGACGTGAGGTCGTGGATAACCACTCGTTGACTTTGGTCGCGTAACCAAACTGAGATCCAGTCTAAGAGTGTGCCTTGAGTAGGCTCTTAGTTTATGAAGAAGGAGTTTTTGCGGCTCTTTGTCAAACGCCTTTGGAAAATCTGTATGTATGACGATTGTGATGAATGGCTTGTGTTCCAAGTTTCAAGCAGATTTGAGACGCAACCCTTGCGATGAACAAAGCTATGTTGCTTTGGAGTAATTAAGCAATTAGCTTCACAGTGTTCCTTTATACTTGTTTGAAAAATACTCTCTATCATTTAACAATATTTTTAATTTATCAAAAAAAAATTTTTGTATTATTAATTTTTTTTTATAATATATATATATATATATATATATATATATATATATATATATATATATATATATATATATATATATATATATATATATATATATATATATATATATTTTTATATTATTTGTTATATATTTTTTTATTATCTTATGATATTAAAAAAAGTTTTTTTTTTCAATATATTTTTTTATTCAATATATTCGTACCAATACTGAATTTTTTAAGAACTAAAGAATTCAATCTCAGGTGATTTTTTTTTTATTTAAGGCTTGTTTCTTCATTTGTTAAATTTACTTTATTATTTAAATTATGTTTCAAAATAATCAAAATAAGCTTAATTTAAAGTGCTAAATAAATTTTAACTTATTAAAATTAAAATAATTTTTTAATTAATTGCAGATACAATTCTAAAATACTATAAAGCCTTTATTGTGGGTATTGCCCCAACTTGTCAGTTAGTCAATAGCAGGAAAAAAAGATGTTCTCAAAGTAAAAAATGTAAACCGTCGTAGCCGGTTGATTTTCTTTCATCAAGGTGGTCGTGGCGCACTTGTACTATATCGAAAGAAAAATTAGCTAGGTCAACGACACAAATTGCTTTAATACAACTTTCAAAAGCTGGTATTGGACCTTTGGGCTCCGAAACAAAAACCAAAAAAAAATAGATATTCAACAATGAGCATATATCGTCGGTATCGGTAGTGATTTTGGTATTAGCTGTTTCTAGCAATGTAATAGTGTTCCTAAAGCTCTGTTTGCTTTGTACATGTGCATGTAATGCAGCCATTGCTCAGTGATAACGCGCTTGCCTCAGAAATAAAGGATCCGTAGTTCAAACCCCACCTCTGGGCAAGTTTTGCGACATCGGTTTGGAAGGAGGAGTGAACTTCCGGTTAAATGCTCGGATAAGACCGTAAGGACTTCTTAGAACATCAAAATAAGAAAAAAAATGTAAGCGTTACCCATTGCTCCTGTTTCTCAGTGAAGGGAGTAGTTGTTGATGGGATGTATAGATTGATGGCTTCATTATACACGTTTACTAGGAGCTGGTAGCTATCTTTTGCATTTAGACCAGTGAATTTTGTTTCCACTATCTAATCTTTCACCCTAAACCCTAATAAATACATACATGGGTTACCTAGTAACCCATGTATGTATTTATTTTTGGTTGTTGTTGCATTTTTTGTTTATTTTTTAGGGAAATGCACTAATCTAATAATTAGTCTTCAATTTATTTTTTGCTTTAATTGTAATTTTAGTTAGGCTGTAATTTTAGTTTTACATTGTCTGCCCAGCATAGGGGTGAAGCGGCACATAGTAAAAAGTTGCAGTCCCACTTCCGTTTAACAGATTAGCGTTATTTTATTGCGGAAAGTTCTACAACGTTTTGGCTACGATTTTTTACAGTTTTTTAAATAATAATTGGTACGTTTGGTAGGGTTTAAGCGGTTTTTAACTTTGGTTTTAGTTCTTATGCAGATTTAAAACAAAATTTGGAAAAAAAAAATTGAAGATAAATTTTATTCATCATTTTTGTTTGGAGCAAATTGAGAATTCCTTTTGCATTAATAATTTGAAAGCATTTGGAAAGCAAAAAGCATGCATACAAGTTTTTTTTAATTTTAAATAAAATCGTATTTTCCTTAATAGTCTGAAATAAAATTTAGTAATAACAAAAAACTGAAATAAAATTTAGTAATAATAAATTTTAGTAATAACAATAACATTAATATCATTTTTATCAAACTTAATTTCCTTTAAATTTCAGGTCATGTCTAGAGTTTATAAAAGAAAAAGTGAAATTCCACATGGTTCAGAAAACATTTTAAGTGATAAAATTGGATAAGTCTTAGAAAACCAGCATACTCAGCAGGCTAATTCTGCAGCATACTCAGCAGGCTAATTCTTTCTAATTCTGCATTTCATAGGTGTATATTAAAAAAAAGTGTTTTTACTAAATATTTATTAAAATTTTAACGGAAAAAAAATAACCTTCTTAAAAGCTTTTTAACATAAAGCCATATTCGATTTGCTTGAGCGACTTTAATCGAGTTGTTTTTGATATATAAAGGGAAAGGTTGGTTAGCCTCAGACAACGGGTAAATCCGGACACTTTATGCACAGCTTAAACTAATGAAGCTATGTGATTTTAATTACTATAAAAACATTTATCTATCATAACATGCCAAAGTGATTGGCCGGGAGTGCAAGATATTGTTTCCCACCACCAGAAGAGCAATGTATCATCATATTTGATTCACATATTAATATACCTAATTTCTAGGTAAACTAATAACTTTTATTGATTAAAGATTTTTATTTACAACATTTATTATAAAAAATTCCTTTAATACTATAATTCACAGGTTTTAAAACTAGTTTTTTTGAATGAAGTATGATCAGGTGGTTTCGAGCACATGTTTGGAGGGTGGTTTCGAGGTTTAGACGGTGGTTTTGGAAAACTTATTCCGTTTGCATATTCAAAATAAACTTTTTATATAAATATTAATACATTTAACATAATACACAAACCCATAATAGTAGTTCATTTAATTTATATAAAAAAAAGATTTGAAAAAAGTGCTTATTTTAATTAGTAAAAAGCTAATGTTTTTATTTTTAAATGATGAAATTTTCATTCCCATTCCATATCAGAGGCAATTTTTAAAGAAGATTTTTTTAAAAATGTGTTGAGAACAGTCCAATGCTAAGTATTTATAAGTTATATTTGTGTCACACGCGTAAAAAAGTTGTAAAATTATGGTTAAGTTGTGTCCGGGGTACCCTTCAATTTTGAAGCATGTATTTTTTCTAGCATTTTTACTTTTATGTTTTGTATATTATTAAGTTACACGATAATTATTATTTTGATTCTAATTCAATAGATAAATGTTAAAATGACAAAAAGGTCATCAAATATTTATACTTTTAAAAAAGTATTCTGACTAATTATGTTTTGTATATTATTAAGTTACACGATAATTATTATTTTGTTTCTAATTCAATAGATAAATGTTAAAATGATAAAAGGCGAGTTTTCAAGCCTTACAACAGCGATTTGACCTTCAATGAAGTAGTTTGCCTGGCCCATTGGAGTGTTACCGAGAGAATCACCTTGTTTGATGAAGATAGCACGGTCTGGTTTATTTGTTATGATCACTAGGCGAAATGATGTCTAATAAAAAGAGCGCAAGAAATCTATACATTTGCAACAAATAACAGTACTAGACACTGCTCCTAAATAAAATTATAGGGGTGTCCCACTCCTACCGCATCCCACTTTTCGCCACTCTTCCCCAACCGTATAATATTTCCTTATATTGAAAAGCTTTGCCCTATATAAATTTTATAGAATTCTATAGAATTTCTATAGAATCTCTGATAATTTCTATAGAAATTCCTATAGAACTATTTTTTCTACTTTTTTTCTATAGAAAAAAAATGTTTTATGGCAATTTTTAAAGAAATAAATAAACATTTTATAGAAATTCTATATAATTTCTATTTGCCAAATAGTTCAAATGTTTATTGAAATTCTATAGAACTTTTTTTCCTAGGTAATTGATAAATTTGCAAATACTGCTTCAAATAAACAAAACAAAAATAGAGCATCGCACACATCATTTATCAAGGAAGTTTACACCGATTTCATAATAGATGTCTTATATATGACCTAAGTGAGTATCAAATTCTATATTTGAAGCTCGCTTTGGTCATATACCTCTTAATTCTGAAACCACCAATCTAACCAGTAAGCCAGGGCTGCTCATATATTGAAGTTTTTACATAGTTTTAAAACTTTTAAGTTTAACTACTAATTTGGTTCAATTTTTTAAAATTGATTTAATATACAAAAGTTTGATTGAGCAGCTCGAACTTTTATCACTAAAATTATTATTTAAAAAGTAAAAAATATCTTCCTTTTTAACTTTATGCTACATTACATTACGCTTTAAAACTCATAAAACTTTCTAAAGTAGTTTTAAATTTTCCATGAAAATTAAAAACTCTTTTAGAGTTTTTAATTTTCATGGAAAATTTAAAACTACTTTAGAAAATGCAATTAATTTTATGGTAAAACTTAGGAGCACGGCGGTGGATTGTGGTGGAGTAAAAAAGAGATCATAAAAATTTAAAATTCACTCGTCCTAAAGGCTTTGGAAAGGTCGTATTGAAATTTTAACGCATGATTTACTTTTTATACAAAAATTTTTTTTATTGCTTTGGCGCTCACTTTTGCTTAATTTCAACATAATTCAAAACAGCTATAACGAAAATTTCGAATTGTGGCGTAAGTCAAACGCGTCTTCGTAAATTTTTTTCGAACGCTCAATCGAAAAAAGATTTAAAGTTTTAAATATTGGTTTATTAAATAAAAATTACGCAGAATTTGAAGTAATGGTTTTAATTGAACACATTGTTTTAAGAAATTAGTTGGAAATGATTAAAAACGAAAAAAAACCAACCGAAAACGAATACAAATCGTCAAACTCGTTGGAACTTACAAATGGTCCACGAGAAAATAAAAATCCAGATTTATCAATAAAAACTTCTGATAGCAGCAGTAAAACGTCAACGACAACTGAAAGCTTAAATATAATACCTAGTTCATCAGACGTTAATGCAACCGGTTGCTTTGAAGAGTCACCTGGAGATATGGAAGCCAATCCAAATAAAAGAGGGTACGGGAAAGAAGTGTTTCATATGTGTTTCAAAGATTTTCTTGTGAATTTTTTATGTTTTTTATTTATGTTTTTTTAAGAAATAACTGCAGTGCAAAGCAACTGATTGTAATGTCTCTAACAACGTTTGCTGTCTTTCTCGGTATTGCAGCTGCTACTGGCATCACATTAACTTTATTTACTAAAAAAAGCCATATTCATGGAAAAATTCATGACACATATGCAGCAGAACTTTATGCAAAAGCCGCAGTTTCTAGTGACGCTGGGGCTTGTTCAAAAATTGGTGTCAATATTCTTCGCCAAAATGGCTCTGCAGTGGACAGTGCGATTGCTACCACACTATGTTTAGGTGTTATTAATATGTACGCAACTGGTATTGGTGGCGGAGGATTTATGCTTATTTATATAAAAGAAAATAATACATTTGAAGCTCTCGATTTTCGCGAGAGAGCTCCTGGAAAGTCTACTGTTGACATGTTTGAAAAAAATATTAACAAATCACGATACGGTAATTATAAAGTTATAAAAATTTAAGTTTAACAAGAAAAAAAAACCACAAGTAAAAGAAAAGGCAGTAAGAGACGACATAAGATATAATCTCATAACAGGATTTTTAAGTGAGTCAAAAACTCTATAGTGGGCCAAATGCGAATTTTTGGCTCCCAAAAAAAACCACCTTCTAGGTGCCCTGTGAAAGCCCGGTTTCAGCTGCAGGTGTCTCTAGTTGGTGGGTTAAAAAAAAAGAAATAATAAATAACCCATACTTATTGTGAAGTAAGCACTATTGAGTTATCAACAACAACAACAAAAAAAAAACAATTATAACAAATTATAAACAATTTTTTTAAGATTAAAACTATTTTTATGTCATCATAATTGCTTTGTTTAAAGCAACACATTTTGTGTAATGCAACGTCTTATTTTTGTTTAAAGCAACATATTTTGTGTAATGCAATATGTTGATATTATAGATCTTAACTTCTTGGATATTTCATAATTTTCGACATCTATCAAATGCTAGTCTTTTGCCTTCTTTTTTAATACGTTTAAAAATAAAATGATTTATTAAATTATAAAGAGTTTGGATAGTCATATTTGTTAGCAAGTTTAAATATAATATATGTTAGCAGGTTTTAATAATAAATAGTCTCCTAGGTATTATTTCAGAGAATGCAAACCAAAGATAAAATGCTCAAAAAATAATCATTAAGAAGTAATCCTTATTTGAATTGTTTAAAAGAAAAAAAACCCTCATAAATGAATTGCGCCCAGATCACTACCTAACGCATAAATAAACATAAAAATAAAGTTTTTTGGCATAGAAAGTTTTAGAAAATTTTTGGTAAATTTCAAACTTATTTTAGGTATAAGGTATACATTAAACCTCTTATTTTAGGTATAAGGTAAACTTTTTTTTATATTTTATTTGCATTAAGAAAGGACATATTATTACTAATTAGCGGTAGTTCAAACTAGAAAACAAGTTAACCCATGAATTTATCACCCTTACCATAAGAAACGGATAAAAGATTAAACATTTATTTGTAGACAACTCTATTCTAAAGTTATTTTTATATATTTGTTTTTATATTTCTTAATTATATAAATATGTTTCATTATAAATTTGATTACAATTTTCTATTTGTTAGTTATATCATTTATGTGTTAACTATATAAACCCTCTTGTACTATTATTTAACAGAGTTTATACTATTAACAATGTAATTTATGACAGGTGGACAAGCAATAGGAGTTCCTGGTCAAATTAAAGGTTTGTACTTTGCTTGGAGAAAGTATGGACGATTGCCGTGGGAAAAAATTGTCGACACAGCTATACAATTAACTACTGAAGGTTTTGTAGTTCATCCGATTTTAAATAGAGTCGCCACATTAAGTAAAGAGTTCATTAAAACTGATGCTGGATTAAGGTAAGATATATATTGTACATATAAACTTATTTGAAAAGTATATACTCTACATCAAACTAAAGGCACACAATTTTTAAACCAAAGACACTCTTTTCAAACCAAGGCATGTTTAACTGGTAAATGGATGTAGCTCGAACGGGACAGTATTAGAAAAATGTATTGAACACATTTAATTTTTATTTTATCTCCCACGCTTTATTTTTTCATTATCATGTAATAAATTTGGAAATAAAAATGATTATCTGAAAAATAGGTTGGGAGAAATATATTGTTAAAGGAAAAAGTTTCTCCAAGTGAGAAAATATGAAAAAGTTATAAAGATGAAGCTAAATGCTTAATAGCTTGAACAAAAATTGAAAAAAAAAAAATATATTGGCTAAAAAAAAAAGTATAATAAAAACTTCGATAATTTAAAGTTTTAAGACAATTTTAAAGTTTTATTACAAAGTTTTTTTTTTGTAATTAATGATTTAACGAGACTCAAATGCATTCTAAGGTTTATCACTAACATTGAAACATTTTTTGTGCACGGACCCCTCATTTGACCGAAAACATTATGCAAAGTCAACAACAAAACATGCTGTAAAGTCAACCTGAACATTTGCATGACTTTGTTTAACGCAAATTTAATAACATTTACAATTAATTAATATATAAGGTTACATGTCAATATTTTTTAAAGGTGTTTTCTGTTTATTATCTTTTTAAAAAAATTTTTTTAAATATATCTACAAGTTCCAGTTAGGATTGCCTGACCAAGAATTTTCTAAGAATCTTACCGACCCAGTCTTTTTTACAAATTAAAGCTACATTCCAGTAGCGGACTGGGATCAAACTAAGCAACCAAGCTCAGGTTCGCAACTAACTACACTGTTTTACCTTACCATAGAGAGAGGCGAAAGAGTCAGCGTATATCATTTTGCTGCTCGGGTATGTTCAAAGGCACTGAGTTGAGAATTATAAAATATTTAAATTTTGCTAATAATTACATTTCTGTTTGTTGATCAAAACACAACTTTAAATGTTAGAATCAACGTAAAGGTTAAGCTTAAATGCAAATAGTTTTAACACCTTGCTATAACACCAACAAGAAAAATATTTAGCAAGAAAACATTTAATGTATCATAGGATCAAAAAACAACCTTTTTTAAAAATATATTCAGCATGCACCTTAATGTGTCCAATATAATAACACTGAATTTAAAAGTTTTTTTTAACAAAATTGAATGAAGCAAAATTATATAAAAATTCAAGTTATGGAAAGTGAAGGTTTTTTTTTTAATTAAAAATGAAAAAAGTGCCTTTTACAAACATTCTGTAAAAGTATTTTTTTTTTTTTTTTCTTTTTTTTTTTTTTGAAATTATTTTTATAACTTTGATTCATTTAAGAGCCAACGAAAAAAAAAAAAAAACGAAACGTTTGAAATGCCATAAAAATAAAAATCTTTTTTAAAAGATATCCAAAAATGTTTTACAAAAAGGTGCAAAAAAAAAATGCGATGATTGGTGGCTGGGAACGAAAAAACTCTTTAACTTCATCACCCTTCCCCCATCCTAAACGTGAGGGAAAACAAGTTGGTAAGATAATATTTGTACTATTCTCAACTAGACTTATATTCATCGATTTGGCGTTCAAAAATTATGGCCATATAAAGTTTATAACGCCCTCAAATTGAAGGGGGTTTAAAGTTTATATGGTCGTAATTTTTGAGCGCTGAGAGAGTTATTTCTATGAAACTTAAAATTTATTGATGAATATAAATCCTAGTTGAGAATAGTAGAAAGAAACGTAAAATTCGTGAAACGTAAAATCCTCAGAAACGTAAAATCCTCAGGAACGTAAAATCCTCAGGAACGTAAAATCCTCATAAACGTAAGATCCGTGGTTCAAACCCCACCTCTGGGCAAGTTTTGCAACATCGGTTGGGAAGGAGGCGTGAACTTCCTGTTAAAAGCTCTTCCGCGGTGCTCTGTGATAAATCCACAAAGACTTCTTGGGGTACCTAAAATATTAAAAAAAAAAAGTACAAAAAACATTTAATTAACTTGCTGCCTCTCACATTTGGGAGGGGGAGGAAGGGGCATGAAGTAAAAAGAATTTTTTTATTCCCAGCCTCCAAACATACAAATGATTGGAGTTTGCTCCATGTCTGGAAGTTATCTATCTCAAACAACAAAAAATTTTGGATCCGTCTCTGAATGCACCACTGTTGGTTATAAATAACTTCCCTTTGGTATAAATTAACATGCTTTTATTTATTCCTTCCATTTAAAAAATGTTTTATTTATTGGAATAATAATTAATGCTAATTTATATAAAATCTTATTTAGTAATCAAATAAAAAAAATAAATTACCATCACAAATCTGGAGCTTAAATAAGGTATAGAAAATAAAAAAAGCAATGCAAACCGAAACGCTTCTTCAAAGTTACTCCAAAACATGGAAACTTGAAAGTTAAAAATATCGAGTTTTGCCAAAGATGTGATTCAGCGATTCAGATGAAAAAGCAAACCCAGATTGTAATGTAGGTACTTATTTCAACATCAACGATGGCTTTGCAGAGCAAGTTCTTGATTTAGTAAACTTGATTGGCGCTTTTTATGTTCTTTATAACGTTAAAAAAAAAATTGATGAGGAGCATGATGATGTTTTTATGCCTATCTGCAATCAAAACTGCAACCGTAGCACAGTTCTTAGAAAACCAAGGTGTCCAACGCCGGCTTTAGACCCAATAAGCAATATTGGTAAGAAAAGAGGCGTGAAGTTCCGAAATAAATGCTTTTCCGCTGTGCCCTGTGATAAGACCGTATGAACTTCTGGGAGCACCTTAATGACCACAAAAAAATTAAAAAAAAAAAAAAATTCCTAAATGAAATTAAGTACTGTTGATGTTATTAAAAATTATGTTCATTTAAATGAAGAAAGAAAAACCTACGAAATTGAAGAGCAGTTTCTAGAGTTTGTTGACTGCAATCAGAAAATGAAAATTGCTGAGTTAACTTGCATGATAATATTAAAAAACATTCAACATGCCAAAAGAGACTGCAGTGTCCAAGATGTTGACAACGACAGCAAAGCAAAAAAAAAAACACAAGCAAAGATCATCAAAGAGAACCTATTAGCGATTTATTTTTCATCTGCTTGTCATAACTTAAACCTCTTGTCGCAGAATTATGTACAGGTTTTAGGTGTTGCGTATAAAAATTATGACTTGTTTTGTTCTAGTCCAAAAAGATGAAAAACTTTGGCAGGAAGTATAGAATGTTCTTTGCATAGCAAAACGTAAATACGTAGGTCAGCTAAAATAGACATCGATTGGATTGCCGAACATCTTCCTGATATAAAAAATGCTATCAGGGTAATATATTTAATAAACCTTTATCAAATGAAATATATTCAATAAACTTTCATCAAAGATTATAGGATTCTTATAATTTTTTTTTTTTTTGTATGTATTTAGGTGCTCCCAGAAGTCCTTGCGTCTTATCATAGAGCACCGCGGGATAGCATTTAACAGGAAGTTCACGCCTCCTTCCATACCAATGTCGCTTGTTGGGCTGGCGCTGGCGTCGAACCTCGGACCTCTGGGTTCTGAGCCAGAACTCTAACCACTGCGCCACGGCTGCACAAGATTCTTATAATGTTTTATCAAAGGTTATAGGATTCTCATAATGTTTAAAATCTTTTTAGTTCCTTTTTTATTTTTGACCACAATATTGAGTTCCCCAGGAACTTAAGGAAATCAATATTGTCGTCAAAAATAAAAAAGGATTTGCAAAGGTTTAAACATTATAAGAATCCAATAACCTTTGATAAAACATTATAAGAATCCTATAACCTTTGATGAAAGTTTATTAAATATATTTCAAATGAGATATTACAAAATCTTACAAACGCTAACTATTCATTGCTTGAAAAGTTATTTCGTCTACTGGTATGCACGAGCAGTTTCGTCTACTGGTATGCACGAGCAGTTTCGTTTACTGGTATGCAGCAGTCGATAGAGCATATAGGCTAACGGTCTAGTAAACATATGAAACACTATTACCAAATCATATTGTTGTAGCAAAGTTAACAAACAGCATCAAAAATCGAATCATGTAATCTAAATTAGTTACTCCAGTGACTTTCAGAAGCTTGCTTTTAAATGATTTTTTTACTTTATTTGAGGTTCATGGTTTGCTTTATTTTATGAAAACAACTTTATTTTTTATTTTGTATTTGCTTTTTTGAGTTAGTTTAATAATTTGAATAAATCTTCTTTTTTTTCATTTTCTTTATTTTAACATTATAAAATCTTTTAATCAGAGTTCCATCTTCTTCACCAGACTTCCATCTTCTTCACCAGACTTCCATCAATCACTTATGATTGAAAGTTATTACCGGTGGAGGCACCTTAATTAATTAAGGTTTGTTGAAATTTTTAAAATCTCATCTAGTTTTGCTTCTTTTGAAACACATGTTTACTTGTATAAAAAAAAAAATTAATGTCCGGGGTACAGGTTTGTATACTTGTATAAAAAAAAATTAATTTCCTGGGTAGCTACGAGTTACCATTTTTTACAGCAAATATATAAATATATACTATGAATAAACGTATATTGTGCTAAGATTGTAATGATGATCAAAATATATTTATAATAAAAAAAAATGAACAAAATAGGCTCATTTTTTACAGAAACTTATTGCTTACATCGGGATATCAACCCATACAAGCTGGAACTGTTTTAAAAGATCCAAAGCTGGCAGAAACGCTAAAAATTATTAGGGATGATCCTGAATCATTTTATTCTGGAAAATTAGCAGAAAAGATTGTAAAGGACATATCAATAGCTGGGGGTATTGTGACTTTGGATGATTTAGCAGAATATAAAGTGGAAACTAGAAACATTATTACAACATATATCAATGATTTAAAGTTATCTACTATAGGTTTACCAAGTGGAGGAGTGTCTGTTATACAATTTTTAAATATATTAAAAGGTATTTTTTCTTTATCTTTATGTTTTTAATGAATTTTTTTGTTGTTATTTCTTTTACTTTTTGTCGTTTAGCAATTTTTTTATATTTTGTTTATTGCGGATTTTTAGGTTATTTTTTATCTCCTCTTGATATGGACCCTACAGACCCTGAAAAATCAGCCAAAACATATCATCGGATAATTGAAGCCCTAAAGTTCACTTTTGCTCAAAAAAGTAAATATGGCGACCCAAACTTTTTAGATAAAAATCAAGTGAATAAGGTAAATTTTCATAAAGATATTTCAAAATATGAATATATTAAAATTTTATGCTGAATTTTATTAATTTCCTAAATTGTTATATTACAATCAGGGAAACTGGTTTTCTAAATTTTTATTTTACAATAAGGAAAAACTGGCTTCCTAAATTGTTCTTTTACAAACTAAGGGGCTGGTTTCCTAATTAGGAACAACTCTTATTTTTCAAAAAAATTGTTAAATCAACAAAAAATCAAAAAACGCTTCATTTGTAAATTTATATGTTTAAAAGGAAACTGAACATGCCTTGGATGAAAACTTTGGAGACTCTTTACGCCTAAAGATTGACGACAGCAAAACTCGTGATTTTCAATACTATGGATCTGAATATGTAATTCCATCAGATAAAGGAACATCGCACGCAAGTATTCTTGCTGAAAATGGAGATGCTGTTTCTGTCACTACAACTATTAACGAATGGTGCGTAAGCTGTTTTTTTTCATTACTTATTTAAACAAAAATATCATGAATGAATGAATTTGTATTATGAAGGAATATATAATATTGATTTGTAAATGAACATATTTATCTTATTTCAAAAATATATTTTTGTTTAATATTCATAATTATAAATTTGAAGGTTTGGATGCATGTATCGATCAACTGAAACTGGTATCATTTATAATAATGAAATGAGTGACTTTAGCACAATGAACACAGTACAAGAAGGTTTAGCACCGTTAGCACCGTCTCCATACAATAAGGTGCATAGTGGCAAAACTCCGGTCTCATCAATGTCACCAATCATAATGACAGATAAAAACGGAGAAGTTAAATTCGTGATTGGAGGTACAGGAGGTGGTAGGATAATAGCTTCTGTGAGTCAGGTAGGAGTTACTTATGCTTTTATATGACAATATATTTAAAATAAACTTTTTTTTGCGTTTTAATTGATTTTTAAACTTTAGTAATTTTAGGAAATTCTATTTCTGAAGCAGAGTATAAGAGTAATGTAACGTGAATGGGTTGAGCAAAAGTTTAAATACGAGTGCGAGGGGCAAAATGAAAATACGATAAAATAAAAAGTTTTAGAACTGATTTTGCTTAACATTTTCTTAATATATAGTTTTTTTAACGCGCCGGCTCTAGCCCATTAAGCGACATAAGGCATGAACTTTCTAGTAAAATGTTTCTCTGCGGTACTCTGTGATAAGACCGTAAGGACTTCTGGGAGCACTTTAATAACTACATGCAGTATATATATGTGTATATATATATACACATATATATATATATATATATATATATATATATATATATATACACATATATATATATATATATATACACATATATATATATATATATATATATATATATATATATATATATATATATATATATATATATATATATATATATATATATATATTTATTATTTTAAAACATCAAGAAATACAGTTTCTCTCAATACAAATAAATTTTATTATTAAAATTTTCTCTGGGTTATGGATACCAGCTTGTAAAATATTACAATAGTTTTAATCATTATAGTTTATATAAAATTGTTACTATTGACGTCAGCGGTTGAACGGCTTCGTTTGATTTTTAAATTTTAAAAGTGGCGTCCAAAACATAGTTTTGACATATGAAGATGAAGGCCAATATGTCAAAACTATGTTTCGGACGCCATTTTTAAAATTTAAAAATCAAAATAAGCCATTCAACCGCTGACGTCAATAGTAACAATTCTATATAAACTATAATGATTAAAATTATTGTAATATTTTACAAGTTGATAATGGTATCCATAACCCAGCGAAAATTTTTTCTATAATAAAATTGTTTGCATTGAGAAAAACTGTATTTCTTGATGTTTTAAAATGATATATAATATACTCTCAAACAAGATGTCATCTTTCAATAAATAAATTTCTCACTTTTTTTGCTAGCCTAAATTAAGTGAGCGTTTTTAGTAAACGATGAGGGAAAACAAAGAATAATGAATGAAAAGGTTGCTGACCCATACCAAACCCTCAGTCGATGTAGCAGCACTCTACTGCGAGTCAGGCTATTTGTCAGTCGATGTATGTACTATTTGACGTTAGGTGAGTATGACATCATCATGCTCACCTAACTCAGCACCTAACTATAAGATATATATGTGTATATATATGCGTGTGTGTGTGTGCGTGTATATATATATATATATATATATATATATATATATATATATATATATATATATATATATATATATATATATATATATATATATATATAAATATATATGTCTTTTTGTTTAAGGCAATTATCAACAAAATGTGGTTCGGTCTAGACTTGGCGCATTCAGTTGCCTCACCACGCTTATACCATCAATTATGGCCAAATTATATTAATATAGAAGAAGGAAGCAGTATAAGCGAAGAGATAATTAAAAAACTACAAGCTAAAGGCCACACTTTTGAAACTATATTACCAATGAAAACATCTGCGCAAGCAATATATGTTGAAAGACCTGGTATAGTTTACGCTATGTCAGACCCAAGGAGAGAAGGGAAAACTGATGGCTACTAAAATTGAATGAAAAAAAAAATTTTTTTGTATTTCTATGAATTTTTTAAAATGTATAAATATTTTTTTAAAAATAGTTAATAATAATTCTTTCGCATATTTATACTGCTGAAACCTATATACCGCTTATATCTCTTTTCGCAAATTACGTTTGCACAACAAGATCACGTATCATATAACGCAAGTTTCTCTTCTAAGTTCGTTTTCATAATGCTTTCAAATACACGTTCCGTCTCGTCAGCAAGCTCTTGACTAGAACAGGCTTTCATAAAATGATGATTTGATGGTAATTTATAGTCAATGCTACGATTTGGGTTTGTATTATTAACATTGTTATCTCTAATTGGTTCACGGTCAATATCCATTTCAAAATCAAGATCAGTATAATTTTCGTCCAAAATATTTGCACTCTTATTTACAACTAAATGTTTACAAAATAAACAAATATTAAGTCTTTAAGATTGCTGTTAAAGATACAAATAATACAGTAAAAACTTAAAAATAAAAAAAACAAATAATAATAATAATAAAAACCTGTCAAAGGCATTTTACTGAGCTGAGAAGCGGCAATTTTTCCGATGCTTAACAGTAACTTGACAACCTCGTTACGCAGTGGCGGAAACGCTTTACAAATTCTAGTAAAACAGCTTAGCGCTGGTACAAAAAATTGATTGCGCTTTGATACAGGAAGCGCCATGAGTAGATCAGAAACTCTTTGTAAAGTGTACTTACACATTGAATATGATTTAGGTATGGGATAGTGAATGGCGAGGTAAGATATTAATTGAACAGCAAATAACTACAAAAAAAGAAAAGACAAATATTAAATAAAAGATGGTAAACAGTGATTTAAAAACAAAAATCACTTAAAATTAACTTTCAGAACCTGTTTTTCTAAATGAGCTTGATTAAGCAACTCCGGTATAAATTCTATACAAATATGCATAGAGGGTACTCCAGTGCACAATACTTCAAGCAAAGAAGGGGGATAACCTAAAAAACAAAAATAGCTATAATAATAATTTTTTAGTTTCCAAAATTTAAATAAGTAAAAAGCAGTATAATATCAACGAGACAAAATGCATCATATATCTAACAATCATACATCTAAGCATCATATATCTAACAGTTATATATCTAACAATCATATTTCTAACAATCATATATCTAACGATCATATATCTAACGATCATATATCTAACAACCATATATCTAACAATCATATATCTAAGCATCATATATCTAAGCATCATTTATCTAACAATCGTACTAAGTTCGAAAGTTAAACGCATTATTGTGACATCATAACGATTAGAGAGTAAACCACACACACAAAAAAGTTTTTTAAATTCTGATTCACTGCCAACAAGGCTGCAAGCAACCAATATTAAGTTGGGAGTTACTAGGAAAAAAGGAATACAGTTAGAGAGTAGGTAAACGGTTGACAGAGGACTTAAAGAGTTTTGGTTGAGAGAGGTTGTATGAGCAAGCTTCAGAATTAGGAAAAATGAGGTTGGCAAATTATTGCCGACCTCAATCTTTTTGAGGACGGCACCAGGTCGGCAAAAATTATTTGATACAAAGGTCTGACCATAAAACATAGAAACGAGGTCGGCAATTTTTTGCCGACCTTAAACACTTTCAGGTCGGCATTGCCAAATGCCGACCCTAAATCCGAGGGTTTATGAGTAATTAAAACATGAAGATCGGAGAGAGTTCAAAAGGGTTGAAATGCGGGAAAAAAACCAAGACAAATAAATGTTTTTAAAGCCTGCAGGGACAGATACAGTATAATACATGAATGAGACTTAGCTGAATGACGAGTCAAGCGAGAATGAGTTTTAGTTGATGGAACTAGAAACTATAACTCCTTTTTAAGCAGTAACTATAATATGTAGAAAAGAAAAAGAGATGCAACTTTATGACGATGGGAAAGAGGCTCAAGCTTAGCAGATATAGTAGGTCCAACTACGTTTACAATGCATTTTTGGACATTATCTAGAAAAAAAAAGAGCATCATTAGAAGAATCAGCCCAAATATAACAACAGTATTAAATACAGGAAATGTAATAATATTTACATCTTAATTATGTTTCATTTAAATTAAAGAAAAATATTTTCTTTTGTGCTACTAGATAATTAAAGGCACTAATGTACTAAAACTGATATTTATTATTATACTTTTTTTTAATAAACATTTTTGAACTAATAATAAAACTAATTACAAAACTAAAAAATTTATAGAGTTCAATAAAGAAAAAGAATTATTTGTGTCAAACTTAAGTCAATTTGCATTTGTGTCAAGTCTAAGTCAAGTTTGCATTTGTGTCAAGTTTGAATTTTTTTGATGATATAGCAACAATCCTTTATTAAAAAATGTAATCGACAAGGAAAACACACATATACCCTTATTATTGGTACTTTTTAAAGACTCATGGAGGATTAAAAGAAACATTGATTTCACAATCATTGCAATCCACAATGTGAATAGCATGTAGATTGTTAAATAAAATAAATTTAAACAATTTAAATAAAACTAATACTAAAATAAAACATTTACGTTAAAAAATTATTTTTTAAGTTTTAACAGAGAGATGAGAGTATGGCCCCTGCTCACTAAACTTGGTTTTGCATCAAGTTAAAACAGCGTTTGTTAATGTTTCTTGTAACGAATGACCTGTTAAAAACTTTACTTAACAGGTCATTCAAGCAGAACATAGTTTGTTAACAGCATCAATCTAACAGGTAACCAAGGGTAACAGTTTATGATCAGATAAACTTTGTCCTAAAAGTACAACATCTATTTAATTTGCTGGGGACAATGAAAACCATGATTAAGTGTCAACTGATAGTAAAAACGCACTTTGCGATCTTAGATCTAAAGCAATTGCAAATAGAACTGTTACTGCTTTTTTCAAAAAGATTTGAAAAATTTAAAAAACTTTATTAGATTCATTTAACCCCAAAGTCTTGTTTTGTAGGAACACTTCATGCTGAAATATTCCTACAAAACAAGAGTTTTTTACATCATTGAAGCTTTTTATATAATTAGCTATTGGAATACGACCAGGAACTTCAGATAACTCGACTCTCTCTAACATGCCTAAACACTTTAGTATCAAGTTAGAGTTGTTCCCATTCCAACCTCTACATCGATATATTCTTTGCAGTCTCCCCTAGTTTTTAAGAAATTATAAAATTTTGACCAAAGTTACAATAATAAGCTCTTCATTGTAGTTACTAATCCTTTTAGAATATACAATTTAGGAGGGGACACTAAATTTTGGATTAGAGTATTGAGCCTTCATCAAGGTAGGCTCAATACTCTAAACCAAAATTTATTGGTATCAAACTACTAATATTTGGTACCAAACTACTAATACTTGGAAGCTTTGGTATCTTTGATACCAAAGCTTCCAAGTGTTCATAGTTTATCTCCTGATTTACTTTAATCCCCTTCACACAAAAGGAAAGATTGTTGAAAACTTTGCATCTTGTTTATGAGTAATTTTCTCTAAAACCAATTTTAAATTGAAGTTTGATTCTTGCATATCTTCAACAAGGATTTGATAATGCTGTACACCACCATCTAAGTATAAATATGTTACGGAAATTGAAAATAAAACCTGTTTTTTTTTCTGTCAATATAATTTCAAATAACATTTAAAATTATACCCAGTTATAAAGACAGAAAAACATTATGGTGATTTTATTTTTGAAGCAAATTGATTGATTGTGAAACAATCTTTTTTTAATTACTTTATGTAAGTAAGATATAGGCTGTCATAAATATTGCTACTTTATGAAAGTAAGATATAGGCTGTCATAAATATTAGATATGTAATACATTTTAATGCACTGAAGATATGTAATGCATTTTAATGCGCTGCAATAGCAATTTAGTGTACCTACATTAACAATATACAATGAATATACAACTATTTTAAATTCAAGTAAGTTGAAATGATAAAAATACTACATTCCTCAACTTTAAAAAGCACAGGAAGGTTTAAAGGTCTGTGCAGAGAAAAACAAGAATAATTCTGAGGATTTTTCAAGACCAAATTTTTGAAAATTCTCAGAAATATGTAATTTAAGAAACTAACATGTGGTTCTTGATTCAAGACTTGCGGATAAAAATCAACAAGTGATATTACTTTGAAAGCGTTGGATCATCAATACATCTAGAAATTATTAGAAAATTGTATTCAAGCATCTTTTAATTCACAAATCTTTATAAACTCAAAACTTAAGTCAACATGCACACACTACTTAAAATTAAAGTCAACATTAAAAATATTTTAATTGATCCCTTTAACATTCTTTTTGCATTCGACAGTTATTGTTATTGTGCTATTATTTAGAAAAAACCAGGTAATATTAAGAAAAACCAAACAACAATTGAAAATTCTTTTACGTTAACTGATTTTAATTGTTACTCTCTTTTAAACGTGTCACATGCAATGCTCAAAAATACAAGCTGAAAGATTTCTTAACAAAGTCAGTTACAACTATGCCCCATGTTGTTACTTCAGTTATAGTTGCCATTTAGGGATCTCATTTTTAGTGCTGTGATTAGAACAAAAGTGAAACTTGTATATATATATATATATATATATATATATATATATATAATATATATATATATATATATATATATATAAAATATGCCGTAGTGGTGTAGTGAGTGTTCCCTTCATAAGCAAGGAGTTCCGAGTTTGATCCCAACCATGTACCTGGTAGTACTTCGCTGAATTTGTTTCTCTGAGCAGCGACCTTGTTCATCAAAGTTCGTGTTTCAGAGTTAAAGAGTTAAGAGAGGGTTGTTACCACAATGAAGTAGCCTAATTAACTGTAATACCCCTCTCACCCTTGGGGAGGTGAACAACATTGAAAAAAAGACATATCAATTTTGAATGTTATGAATATGCCACTAAATGAATTAATAAATTAGGTATTAAATTTTTTTTTTTTCAAATAAAATTTTTACCTTGAAAATGAATAAGCTTTGCCATGAGTGGTGTAGAAATAAAACTTTGATGGATAAATCGACAAACACGGCATCTAATTTCACGCAACGTGCTCTGAGAACTGTATGTTAAAGTCTAAACACAAAAAAATATTTTTTATCTAGTAGTGTTACTAACTTAACTGAAAAATTGCAAATAAAAATAATTGGTTTCATTTTATTTTACTTTGAATTTTATTTTAACTAGCATTTTAAATTTAAATTTTTTTTAATAATTAAAATTTGTTTAACTAAAATTAGTAAACTATCAATTATTAGTAATTATCAAAAAGTTAATAGTAATTATCGAAGTAAATTAAACACAAAAAATTAATAGTAGGGAATATTTAACATTGCAAGAATGCTTGCAAGTTGCAAGAATGCTTGCAAGTTGCAAGAATGCTTGCAAGTTGCAAGGATGCTTGTTCACTATTGTTAGTGCTATTATTTATCAATGTATAACAATGATTGACTTCACTAGAAACAATAAAATCTCTTCACTGGAAACAATAAATAAAGTAAATAATAAACAAATAACTTTAACAACTTTAAATTTATAACTTTAACTTTAATACTTTATTCTCTTCATATTCTTATTTTATTTATTCTTTAAATAAAATAAATAAAATAAAGTTAACTGTTTGACTGAGATAATTATGAACTGTAAAGTTATAAACTGAGACTAAACATAGAGTAATCTGTAAACTGAATATTGGGCAAATATGAAGTGTGAAGTTTGAACTAAATTTATTCAAAGTGTTTTAACATCTTACAATAAACACAATAAAAAAATATTGTAAAAAACAGGTGGCTGCTTCCCGTACAGTAGAGATAAAATTTGTTTTGGAAATTATTTTTTTTGAACCTTTTTTTTTTTTAATTTCATTAAAAACCTTAAAAGTTATGGAAAAACATATTTTATGCACAAAATATTTGAATAGAATAAATTATTTTCAACTAATGTTAGCAGTTCTTTCCTTGTTTGCAAATGTTAGCAAATATTTTTTCCTCGTTGCAAAAAACGTTTACTAAGACTTAGATATTGCATCATTATTTAAAAAAAAAAGTTTTTTTTTAAAATAATGATGCAACCTTTAATTTAGTTTTTTATTTTAATTTTTTAAAATCAAACTATTATAAACCTAAATTTTATAATTAAATTTAATTATAAAATTTAATTTTATAATCGATTTAAAATATTGGATTTTTTTAACCATTGTAATTATGGTATTATTATTTTTTTAAAACCAAACATTGTTAATTAATCTTTAATTAAACATTTGCTAATAAATAAAGATACTAAGATTGATGTTCATTAAAAAAAAAAAAGCAATTTGTCGCGCCCTGAAATTATATAGTTATAAAATTAATAATTATTAAATTATATAAAACAATTCTTGACTAATTAGGTTTAATTAACATTGTAATTATGGTATTATTATTATTAAGTTGTCACTAAACAAAAAGACAAAAATAATTTTCTAATTTTTATTTTTTAAATTAAAAGTTATGAGGGTTAATGTTTAAAGATATTTGGGAGGTTATTTTTTTTAAATTGTAATTTGAAAGCTTTCATGTCACTGAAAGCAGACTAAGGGTTAATTAGTATTTTGAAAAATTCAGTCAAATTTGATCAAGTATTCTTTTATGACTTTTATTCAATTAATTTAACATTTTTATAGAAAAATAATCGAAAAAGAAAAAAATGTTGTGCAGAATATCAAACCAATAATGTTTCAAAAAGCCTTGAAATATAGTAACGCATGTATTAAGAAAGGTCTGCAATAAATTCAAAACAGATCCCCATAAAAAGCAACTTAATCTGCAAAAGCAAAATTTAAAGTGTAAAAATATAACAAAGTGTAATCACATAACAAAAGTTCTAATCTGTTATCTGTTCTGTAATCTGTTATTTGTTCTGTAATCTGTTATCTGTCCTGCAATCTGTAAATCTGTTTTAAATTCTGAAAGAAACTTCTAAACTATTTAGAGATCAGCACTTGCAAATCAAAGACATCAATTCTGCAACCTGTGCCCACACACACAAACTTAAAATAAGTTAAAATAAGAAAAGATTCAGTTAAGACATTTAATAGATTTCAAAGATATATTAAAGTCTTATAATTTAAATGATAAAATCCGATAGATAAAATTGTTGTTTCATCACTGAACTTACAGTTTCATCACTGAACTTTCTGAAACTGAAAGTTTCTTTTCAGTAAAACGTTTTAAACTAAAACATAGTTGTTTATAGTTTTTTATATGATTTTGTGATAATAAATAATTATTAACAACAAAAACTGAAATTTCAGAAAATTTTATATGAAAAAATACTTTTATAAAAACAATTTATTCCAATAGTTTACGTTTTAATTTGGTAAAATGTTTTTTTAAAATACAATTGATTTTCTAAGTTGCAGAAAAAGTCTTATTAAAAAAAAATCTCTTCCCATTTTATGCCACTGAACAATAAAAACAAAATACCATTAAAAAATAAAGACAAAATTTATAGTGTAAATAATGATTGAGAACTACCTTTTCTTCAAACTCACTAGGGAGACACACTTCTAATAATATTTGTATTGCTGCACTTTCTTGTGCAGTTATCAAAGCTGATTTTAACTCTTCTCTTTCAACATCAGCTGCAATTGAAACTGGCATAGCTATAATTAAAAAAATTAATAAAAAGGAATTGTTGCTGTATAAACAGCAAAAAACATGCTAAACTGGAACATAAATTAGACATTGGCTTAAATTGCCAACATAAAAAGTTGGCACATTAAACTAGTTTATTTTAAATTTGACATTTTAATTCAAATTTTAAAAATTTAAATTAATTCAAATTTTATTTTAAATTTACTTTTTTTTTAATATATTTAAAATAAGACCTAAAAAACATTAAATTTTTCTGTTTTAAAAAAAATTGAACTGTATATTTGCACAAGCTTTATTTTGCCCATGTAAGCTAATTTACACAAGTGTGGAGGTGGCTGCAAGCAATCCCAGGTTATTCCTGCCAAGATCTGTATATATATACATATGTATGTTTGTATATATATGTAAGTTTGTATACATATTTTATCTATGATGTGTCTATTTAGTTGGAAAATGCAAATAAATTAAAATCACCAATTCTTTTCCATAAAAACATTAGCTGACAGTTTTTCAGCTAAAGGTTTATCTAAACATTTCTTAGACATGTATGGTAGTATCCATCAACTCTACAGCAATTGTTTACAGTTGATTAATTTTATCAATAATGGCGAGTTTTAATATGCAAATTGAATCTCATCTGTAAGCCAAATGTAACTTTATTTGATCCCCATTAAAATCTATTTTATCATCATTTCGTACATGTGATGCTTCAATTATACCAAAAACTTGTTATTGATTAATAACATTGTTTTGGTAGCGCATGATCCAAATCTTGAAGCATGCATGTGCAGCCCTCAGAATTAGACCTTAAACTGAACAGTTCAAGGTCATTAGAGGTTGGGACAGGTCGGCAAAAGATATTATATCAAAAGGGGTTATAATAAAATACTTTTAGGTTATTTACACTAAATATTATTCATAACACCACTAGATATTATTCTTAACACTACCAGATATTATTCATAACACCACTAGATATTATTCATAACACCACTAGATATTATTTATACCACCACTAAATATTATTCATACAACCACTAAATATTATTCATAACACCACCAGATATTATTCATAACACCACCAGATATTATTCATAACACCACTAGATATTATTCATACCACCACCAGATATTATTCATAACACCACAAGATATTATTCATAACACCACCAGATATTATTCATAACACCACCAGATATTATTCATAACACCACCAGATATTATTCATAACACCACCAGATATTATTCATAACACCACTAAATATTATTCATAACACCACCAGATATTATTCATAACACCACCAGATATTATTCATACCACCACCAGATATTATTCATAACACCACCAGATATTATTCATAACACCACCAGATATTATTCATACCACCACCAGATATTATTCATAACATCATCAGATATTATTCATAACACCACCAGATATTATTCATAACACCACCAGATATTATTCATAAGACCACCAGATATTATTCGTAACACCACTAGATATTATTCATACCACCACTAAATATTATTCATAACACCACTGGATATTATTCATAACATCATCAGATATTATTCATAACACCACCAGATATTATTCACAACACCACCAGTTATTATTTATAACACCACCAGATATTATTTATAACACCATCAGATACTATTTATAACACCACCAGATACTATTTATAACACTACCAGATATTATTTATAACACCACTAGATATTATTTATAACACCACCAGATATTATCTATAACAACACCAGTATTACAAGAATCTCTCTTGTCTTACTAATCTTTTGAGTGAATAATTTTATTTTTGTACTAAACTATTTTATGAGATCTGCCATATTTGTTACACAACTCCATAATAAGTGAATATTAACAGAATTAAAAGAGTTTTAAAGACAAATAGTAAAAGTTATTAGCAATTTACAAATCAGAACAGTTTAAAATGGTACACTACTAAAAAACACTTTTTCAATAAAAAATTAGAATAAAGCCAAACACTAATATTTTTCTGGTAAGATAAATATCTAAAATGAAATTTTTTTTCACTTACAACTATTAAAATATGAGTAAAAAATGCCTAAAATTGAATAATTGACGTAATATCTTTCCCTATATAAATTTTCTCTCATTTAAACTTTGTAGATTTATACATTAAAATGTTTTATTCTGATTATTTTGATTGATTATCAGGGTATACTCAGTATACTTAAGAAATTTGAATTTATTAAGTATACTGAGTATAGCCAATGTAAAGATATTATGTTTCAAAGTTACCCTAGTATTACAAAATTCAAAAGTTGTAAAAAAACACATTCAAAGTTTTTTTTTAAGTAAAATCTTGTTTAATATCCACCAAAAACATATGAAAGATAAGTTTTATTATACTTTTATTTATCACTGAACCCTTTGGTTACTGATCTCAACTTTTTTCATTGCTTTATACACTTTTGTATTGACAAGGTATACTTTGACAAGGTATATAACAGTCATAACGACTGTTATATACCTAATCAAAGTTAAACCACTCAAAATACCTTTACTCCCATTATTAAAACAAATAACAGCAGAGTATGTTCCTATTTCAACTTTTTTTTTTACTAAAAAAAAGTGTTTTTTGGAACACTGGACCTTATGATGAGATTAAAGGATTCCTTCAGATTTTGTGTCTAGCCATGAAGATATTTCAATAGTAGTTGATTGTCTTGGAAGCCTTAATAAACTGGTATTATCAGGTTTTTAACCTAAAGTGGAATTGAGCTTGGTGATATATACTGCTTTGTTTTAAAAGAAGCCATTTTTACTTAGACTTTAGGGGTTAAATAAGGATTTTTGTTAGATGACGTTGCTAAGGTTCAAACCCATGAAAATTTTAAAAATGTTTTATGCTATCAAATAATACTAGATGGTTATATCAAATGAAAGAGGATAAAATTTGGAAATTTTTTTTTTACTCCAAAATCAGAATTATTTTAGTAGTGTACCACCTTAATGCAATTAAAATTAACAACTTTATTTGAAATAATGAATTTCTTTGGATCTAATACATATAAACACGATAAACGATGTCTTTTATAAGCAAAAATGTAACGCATTAATGTTGATAAAAAAAAATTCTTAATAATGTAATTTTCTATGTTTTCAACATTGTTCCTGTTAAAAAAAACCTTAAGTAACAATTGATTGTCCTTTTGATTTAAAAAAAAAAAAGACCATTAATTATAAAACAAACTATTTTACATTAGGAAAAATTGCAAGAAAACGAATCATTTACTTTCTAAAACAAAAAAAATGAAGTTATATAGAATTTAAAGAAATACCTGTTGTTGGCAATGGATTAGATAAGACATGGTGATTTAAAAGAGATCTTGATGCAGCAAGATAACCATTGAGAGTCTTCAAGAGAATATCAAAAATTGGTGGAACACGATAAACCTTTTCATCACATCTTAAAACAATTAAAGGATCTTTTTTAATTTCTTCATCAGTGAATGGTACTATCTTCTGCCACTCATATCTGATATGATCTGGTTTTTTATGTAGTGCGTTTACAGTTTTGAGCCATAACCTATTACATATGTAATATTAAATAAAAAGTAGTTAATAGTATATATATATATATATATATATATATATATATATATATATATATATATATATATATATATATATATAATATATATATATATATATATATATTCAAACATTCAATCATTACATTACATCTATTTTTAGTGAAAATTGGTAAGAAAAAAAACCTTATACAAAAAGAGATCTAGAGACTCAATACAAACTGTGAGAATTTGTAAAACAAAAATTTTGTTTTACAGATCTCTCTCACAGATCAGTCTCACCTGACCTAATGAAAACCTCTTCAATCTAGATTAAAACCTCTTCAATCTAGATTAAAGGCTCTTCAATCCAGCACAATATGAATATTAAAAAAGGGATATATATAAGTAAAAAAATGTTTATAAAAATTTTATAAACATAAATTATAATTTAATTTAACAAAAACATTTTAAAATCAAATAAGGTTACATTCTTGGAGCCACAATATTCAACTTTTTCCAAACACCAGCTAATACCATTTGAACTTTGCGCGGAGTTTCAACATTTAGAACCAAAGGCAATGCTTCAACAATAACATCCAAGTAAGGTATGAGATCGTCAGGTTTAAGCATTTCCAGATGAAATAGTAAGCGCAGTACATTTTGTGGACAATCATTAAGAGTCACAAAAGCTTAAAAAAAAAGTAAAGAGTAAAAAAAAAAAAGTATATATAGAATAAATTATTTAAATTAGTTAATATATAGTAAAATGATGTATATGCAGCAAAAAAAAATATAGTTAATAATTAGTTAATGTATAAAATTAGTTAATGTAAAATGATGCATAAACAGTAAAATAGCAAATATACAGTAAAATGGTGCATTAAAAGTAAAACAATGATTATACATATAAAATGGTGTATGCAGATGTTAAATTGTATATATAAAGTAAAACAGTAAATAATAGGAACATAAGTTAAATGTTGTTCTTTTTAAGATAAATAGTCGAGTTATTATTATCATAAACAAACAAAATTCGCAAAATTTTCTCAGAATAAATATGACAACAGCATTTCTTACAAGGAAATACCAAAAATTTGACAGAGATATGGTATAATTTGAGGTATAATTTGACAAGGAGTAAAAGTAAGTGATTAGGGTCATCTGGAAAATGATTCACAAAGTTAACTGAATAAGAAATTGAAAACAAAAGTTTTGAGCTTCAGTGTCAGCAAGTTTAGTTGTACAAGAGCCAAGGAACTCAATGTGATGAGCATTAAAGTGTCTAATAACAATAAACAGTTTTAGGAATTTGATCAGATACAACACAGCAACAAGAGTGCAGTCTTAGAGAGAAGGAGAATGATAAAGAACAAAATGAAAGGTAATTAAGTGAAAAAGTGCTGAGCAATTGTACATAAAAGAATTGACAAAGATTCAAACTTTATTTCACAACAAACTTATAGTATATCAATAAGCTATTTGTTGTGAAATTAAGTTTGAATATAAAGGCACATATATGCTTAGACTAAGTGTAACAATTGAAGTCTTTAGAGATCTATAACAATGAAAATAGCTATCAACACTGAGATCAAAAGACTGAAAAATTTAAATTAGTCTCACAATAAGTGAATTTTAGTAAAGTTCACAATAAGTTTATTTTAGAAAGTGAGTCCAATGAATTTTAATCATTACCAAATTGCTGTAAAAAAAAGTGAGTTAATGAATTCTATCATTACCAAATTGCTTCATTTACAAGTATTTGTCTTTAAAGTTACTTTAAAGACAAATACTTGTAAATGAAGCAATTTGGTAATGATAGTTTCTTGTGTTTTATATTTTCAAGTATTGTCATGTTTTAAATTTTTAGAGAACTAGTCTCAATTGTAGATAGTGGCACTCTTGAACGTAGATAGTAGCACTCTAAACAATAAACTCCGCAGTTTCTTTAGTCCTATTAATCAACCAATCAGAAGAAATGGCTCCTTATGTGGCCTCAAAACTGCACACCAAAAGTACTGACAGGGATGCCAAGTGCAATATGGCACTGTTAAGAAATCTTTAATGAAGCGCATAATGGCATTGTTGAGGAGACTTTGTCTAGGAGGTCTTTTGGAAGATAGCAACCAAATATAATAAATGACCTTTCAGTGTTTATAATGTAAACTCATTTCACTATGCTCTCACTCAAATATTACTCTCTGGCTGTTTCCAATTGTTTTCTTTTTTTCTTCCTTTATCTTTTATCCTATCTATTTGAGCTGTAAAAATAAAAAACATGTCTTTAGCAGAACATGCCTATAGCAGCAATTGCTTCATAGGTATGGTAGAATACAAGCTGGCAGAATAAATTTTTAATGATCTCAAATTAACTAAACAAGTTTAACAATAATTTATTTTACCAATAACCTTAACAGTATTATATATTACATATTAAACAGTATTATATATTAAACACTCATGAATCAATAGCTAACTAGTGAACACACCACAAATAAATTTTTATAATTTTTCTTTTATTAACTAGTTGTTTTTTTTAACTACACATTTGGGGTTGACACTTGAGTAAACTAAAACACGGCATAAGATTGAGTAAACTAAAACACTGAGATTACACTAAGATTGTTTTGTATTAACTTTTTATACAAACTCAAAACATTTTACTTGGTGATTTTTTTTTTTCAAGTTTTACTTTTTTCAAGATTAACCTGGTAATTAATTGTAAACCTGGTAAATAATTATTTATGATTATGTTTTATGAGATTTACTTTGATTTAAAAAAGTAATCACATCAAGATTTGTGAAACTTATACTTTCTACTATAAAAAATTAATCACATCATTATTTGTAAAAATTATCTTTCTACTTTAAAAAATTAATCACATCATGATTTGTGAAACTTATACTTTCTACTTTAAAAAATTAATCACATAATGATTTGTGAAACTTATCTTTTTACTTTAAAACAACCAATGTCAAAAAAAACCCACCAACAAATTTATTTTTTTCAAGTCAAAAATAAAAAAAAAACCTTTTTTAATCTCTTCAGAAGATACTATCATCTTTTTAGGTAATCCATGATTAAAAACTTGCAACTCGGCTATTTCTTCTGCTTCAAGCATATCTTCAGCAAGATTAAAATGTGGATAATGAGTTGTCATCAATCCCAGCAAAGAAGCGTATAAAGTACTGTAAGAAGCAGAACATGCCTTTAGCAGCAATTGTTTCATAGGTATGGTAGAATACAAGCTGGCAGAATAAGTTTTTAATGTTCTCGAATTAACTAAACAAGTTTAACAATAATTTATTTTACCAACAACCTTTTCAGTATTATATATTACAAAACATTTTTCTTTCCTAATCATATAACTACTACTAACCTAATAAAAGATTAGAAGACAGATAATAAAATTACAAAAAAATAAAATTGTATTGTAAAATTTTAAAACTGTTTTTTCTTGAGTCATTTTTTTTACTATTATTCATAATTAAACTTTTATGTTTTTTTTTTAAGTTTAATGTGCATATTTTTAAATGTTTATTTTCTATGAGATTTTATTATGCAACTTTTTTTTATTTAAATATGACATTATGGAAGAGTTTAAATCTTTTACAACTAAGTGACCTTCCTGGCATTGACCTATTTTACATAACAATATTTTTTTGTGATACTGCCACTTCATCTTTTCAATAGAGTAAGTGAAAGTTGTAATTTAAAAATTGTAAAATGCAAGAAATACATGTAATTTAGAAACCATATTACATAATTGAGAAATTCAACATTTAATCAAGAAACAATATTTTTAAAATGAGAACACATAAATTGTAAATGTGCTTATAGGTTATTATATAGGTCTTCTTAGACATAACTTCAAATAAGTTAATAATATCTAATTTAGGATTGTATGCACCATCAGTGATGTTAATCTTAACTAACTTAAGACCAAAAATTAAGGCCTTGGTCTTGGCTTTAAAACTCTTGGCCTTTAAAGTTTTGGTGTTTGGTCTTCCACTTTAAAGTTATGGTGTTGGCCTTCCACTTTAAAGTTTTGGTGTTGGTCTTCCACTTTAAAGTTTTGGTGTTGGTCTTCCACTTTAAAGTTTTGGTGTTGGTCTTCCACTTTTTCTTATCAAATTTAGAACATGCATGTTTCATAAATACTACTATTTCATAATTTCATTTCCTTTTTTTGTTGTTGTTGTAAATCAGCAAATAACTTATTTTCACAATGTATCACAGTGGTTACACTCACAAAAGTAAAAATTCTGACTCCACAACGATTAGACCAGATGGTGGTCGATCATTTAAAATTAGTTTCTTTGACCACAAAAATTTTATTTTATTCTTAACAATATATAAAATTTGTACAAATAGAATAAGAATAGTGAATGCTTATGAATTATAGTTAATGCTTACAACTAATATAAACATTTTTTAATTCTTTTTTTTTTTTTTGTATTTTTATTTTTGGGTTTCATACATGATATTCCAAATAAATTTTCTTACTTTGTCAATTTCTGTGCATAGCCTTAGTTTAATTTGCAACATATGGTTTTATTGTCAATTTCTGTGCATAGCCTTAGTTTAATTTGCAACATATGGTTTTATTGTCAATTTCTGTGCATAGCCTTAGTTTAATTTGCAACATATGGTTTTATTGTCAATTTCTGTGCATAGCCTTAGTTTAATTTGCAACATATGGTTTTATTGTCAATTTCTGTGCATAGCCTTAGTTTAATTTGCAACATATGGTTTTATTGTCAATTTCTGTGCATAGCCTTAGTTTAATTTGCAACATATGGTTTTATTGTCAATTTCTGTGCATAGCCTTAGTTTAATTTGCAACATATGGTTTTATTGTCAATTTCTGTGCATAGCCTTAGTTTAATTTGCAACATATGGTTTTATTGTCAATTTCTGTGCATAGCCTTAGTTTAATTTGCAACATATGGTTTTATTGTCAATTTCTGTGCATAGCCTTAGTTTAATTTGCAACATATGGTTTTATTGTCAATTTCTGTGCATAGCCTTAGTTTAATTTGCAACATATGGTTTTATTGTCAATTTCTGTGCATAGCCTTAGTTTAATTTGCAACATATGGTTTTATTGTCAATTTCTGTGCATAGCCTTAGTTTAATTTGCAACATATGGTTTTATTGTCAATTTCTGTGCATAGCCTTAGTTTAATTTGCAACATATGGTTTTATTGTCAATTTCTGTGCATAGCCTTAGTTTAATTTGCAACATATGGTTTTATTGTCAATTTCTGTGCATAGCCTTAGTTTAATTTGCAACATATGGTTTTATTGTCAATTTCTGTGCATAGCCTTAGTTTAATTTGCAACATATGGTTTTATTGTCAATTTCTGTGCATAGCCTTAGTTTAATTTGCAACATATGGTTTTATTGTCAATTTCTGTGCATAGCCTTAGTTTAATTTGCAACATATGGTTTTATTGTCAATTTCTGTGCATAGCCTTAGTTTAATTTGCAACATATGGTTTTATTGTCAATTTCTGTGCATAGCCTTAGTTTAATTTGCAACATATGGTTTTATTGTCAATTTCTGTGCATAGCCTTAGTTTAATTTGCAACATATGGTTTTATTGTCAATTTCTGTGCATAGCCTTAGTTTAATTTGCAACATATGGTTTTATTGTCAATTTCTGTGCATAGCCTTAGTTTAATTTGCAACATATGGTTTTATTGTCAATTTCTGTGCATAGCCTTAGTTTAATTTGCAACATATGGTTTTATTGTCAATTTCTGTGCATAGCCTTAGTTTAATTTGCAACATATGGTTTTATTGTCAATTTCTGTGCATAGCCTTAGTTTAATTTGCAACATATGGCTTTATTGTCAATTTCTGTGCATAGCCTTAGTTTAATTTGCAACATATGGTTTTATTGTCAATTTCTGTGCATAGCCTTAGTTTAATTTGCAACATATGGTTTTATTGTCAATTTCTGTGCATAGCCTTAGTTTAATTTGCAACATATGGTTTTATTGTCAATTTCTGTGCATAGCCTTAGTTTAATTTGCAACATATGGTTTTATTGTCAATTTCTGTGCATAGCCTTAGTTTAATTTGCAACATATGGTTTTATTGTCAATTTCTGTGCATAGCCTTAGTTTAATTTGCAACATATGGTTTTATTGTCAATTTCTGTGCATAGCCTTAGTTTAATTTGCAACATATGGCTTTATTGTCAATTTCTGTGCATAGCCTTAGTTTAATTTGCAACATATGGTTTTATTGTCAATTTCTGTGCATAGCCTTAGTTTAATTTGCAACATATGGTTTTATTGTCAATTTCTGTGCATAGCCTTAGTTTAATTTGCAACATATGGTTTTATTGTCAATTTCTGTGCATAGCCTTAGTTTAATTTGCAACATATGGTTTTATTGTCAATTTCTGTGCATAGCCTTAGTTTAATTTGCAACATATGGCTTTATTGTCAATTTCTGTGCATAGCCTTAGTTTAATTTGCAACATATGGTTTTATTGTCAATTTCTGTGCATAGCCTTAGTTTAATTTGCAACATATGGTTTTATTGTCAATTTCTGTGCATAGCCTTAGTTTAATTTGCAACATATGGTTTTATTGTCAATTTCTGTGCATAGCCTTAGTTTAATTTGCAACATATGGTTTTATTGTCAATTTCTGTGCATAGCCTTAGTTTAATTTGCAACATATGGTTTTATTGTCAATTTCTGTGCATAGCCTTAGTTTAATTTGCAACATATGGTTTTATTGTCAATTTCTGTGCATAGCCTTAGTTTAATTTGCAACATATGGCTTTATTGTCAATTTCTGTGCATAGCCTTAGTTTAATTTGCAACATATGGTTTTATTGTCAATTTCTGTGCATAGCCTTAGTTTAATTTGCAACATATGGTTTTATTGTCAATTTCTGTGCATAGCCTTAGTTTAATTTGCAACATATGGTTTTATTGTCAATTTCTGTGCATAGCCTTAGTTTAATTTGCAACATATGGCTTTATTGTCAATTTCTGTGCATAGCCTTAGTTTAATTTGCAACATATGGTTTTATTGTCAATTTCTGTGCATAGCCTTAGTTTAATTTGCAACATATGGTTTTATTGTCAATTTCTGTGCATAGCCTTAGTTTAATTTGCAACATATGGTTTTATTGTCAATTTCTGTGCATAGCCTTAGTTTAATTTGCAACATATGGTTTTATTGTCAATTTCTGTGCATAGCCTTAGTTTAATTTGCAACATATGGTTTTATTGTCAATTTCTGTGCATAGCCTTAGTTTAATTTGCAACATATGGTTTTATTGTCAATTTCTGTGCATAGCCTTAGTTTAATTTGCAACATATGGTTTTATTGTCAATTTCTGTGCATAGCCTTAGTTTAATTTGCAACATATGGTTTTATTGTCAATTTCTGTGCATAGCCTTAGTTTAATTTGCAACATATGGTTTTATTGTCAATTTCTGTGCATAGCCTTAGTTTAATTTGCAACATATGGTTTTATTGTCAATTTCTGTGCATAGCCTTAGTTTAATTTGCAACATATGGTTTTATTGTCAATTTCTGTGCATAGCCTTAGTTTAATTTGCAACATATGGTTTTATTGTCAATTTCTGTGCATAGCCTTAGTTTAATTTGCAACATATGGTTTTATTGTCAATTTCTGTGCATAGCCTTAGTTTAATTTGCAACATATGGCTTTATTGTCAATTTCTGTGCATAGCCTTAGTTTAATTTGCAACATATGGCTTTATTGTCAATTTCTGTGCATAGCCTTAGTTTAATTTGCAACATATGGTTTTATTGTCAATTTCTGTGCATAGCCTTAGTTTAATTTGCAACATATGGTTTTATTGTCAATTTCTGTGCATAGCCTTAGTTTAATTTGCAACATATGGTTTTATTGTCAATTTCTGTGCATAGCCTTAGTTTAATTTGCAACATATGGCTTTATTGTCAATTTCTGTGCATAGCCTTAGTTTAATTTGCAACATATGGCTTTATTGTCAATTTCTGTGCATAGCCTTAGTTTAATTTGCAACATATGGCTTTATTGTCAATTTCTGTGCATAGCCTTAGTTTAATTTGCAACATATGGTTTTATTGTTGCAGCTCTTGTTGCCTGCAGTTTTTTTAATAAATGGCTTAGGCTTAAAGCCAAAGGTTAGACATTAGGACTTGAAAATCTTTGCCTTGGCCTTTGCCTTGGCTTTGAAACTATGTAAAAACAATTTAAAAAACGTAAAAATAACTTTTAAGTAGCATTTCAGATGGTCTATTGTGAACCCTTTAACTGGAATTGTGGTCTTTAAGTGTTTTAGCATTATGGTTTAAAAATCAAAAGTTTCCAAAAAAAAGCTATAACCAGGAAAACACGCAGTCTAGCCAGTTGTCTTTGCAATTTCAAATATTTAACACCTCTTATATTAATTTTTGTTTATTTATTATTAATTAGGTGCCCCAAAAAGTTCTAATAGTTTTATCATAGAGCACCATGGAATAGTATTTAACCAGGAAGTTCAAGCCTCCTTCCTTACAAATGATGCATATATGGCCAGAGCTAGTTTCAAACCAGGGATACATAAAAATACTTTAATCATGTTTTTTTCATATACCATTAAGTATGACTCCTCAATCTCCATCTCTGCTAAGGCAAATATTGCTAATTTAAATTGAGGGTTTAAGAAGGTTCACTTCTTTAGCTCTACACTTAATTCAAACCTGATTTTCAACTGCATAGTAAGATCATCAACAAACTTACCCCTTACCCCTCTTTTATCCATTGAGCAAAAGCCATTTTTTAAAGTTGTAATGCACAGATAAACTAACATTTTTTTCTGCACTTAGAATAGCTTTAGATACTGCATTTAAAATAGGAGTGACAATTGTTAATAATTTTACTTGCATTTCAGTTAGACGTCGGTGGCACTTTCATACAGTTTCTTTTCTGTGTGCAACTAGAGTTAGTTCTATAGAACCAATGAATTTTAAATAGTAATAAAATCAATAAAACTTCAAATAAGTATCTTTATAAGAAAATTTAATACAAATTTAATTTACTTTAATACAAATATATATAATATACATAATACAAATAAAATATATATAATATACAATTAATACAAATATAAATACAAAGTTTTAACTTTCATTTAAAATTTTGGCCTGACAACTGGTATAAAATATAACTTATATATTTATGTGTATATATATATACTACTGTGATAAAAAGTTAAGATGAAATTGTTTTTAAAACTCTTTATTTAATCTTCCAAATCAATTTCATCCCCTTCAAAGTAATCCCCATCTGATAAAACACACTTTTTCCAATGCTTTTTCCAGTCCTGAAAACAGTCGGAAAAGTCTTTCTCTGATATAGCCTTTAAGACCTTCTTTGATTTGGTTTTTATCTCCTCGATCATGTCAAAACAGCATCCCTGCATTAGCTTTTTGAGTTTGTTGAATAGCTAGAAGTTAGACAAGACCAAATCAGGTAAACACGGTGGTTGCAGAATGATATTAATTAATTTTTTTGCAAAAAATGTAGCAAAGAACCAATGCAGTATGACATGATGCACTATCGTGATTAAGGAACCAAGAATTGTTTTCCCATAATTCCCGCCGTTTCAGAAGAATAACTTCATGCAAATGACGCCTAACGCTCAAATAATATTTTTTTGTTGACAGTTTGTCCCGGCGGAAAAAATTTATAGTGCACCATACCACGATAATCAAAGAAAACTGTCAACATGATCTTGATTTTTGATCGACTTTGCCGTGGACTTTTCGGTCTTGCTTTATCTTTTGAACAATATTTGCTGGATTGGTTGATGGTTTCAGGGTCGTATGCATAAATCCAAGTCTTGTCTCCAGTAATAACTCATTTCAAGTGGTCCTGATAGTCAGACAACAAAGTTTCACACACATCAAAGCAATGCTTTTTATCTAAAAATTGAGCGATTTTGGCACCAATCCAGACTTGACGGGTTTGAGACACAAAAAATTCTTCAAATTGGTTTGGGCTGAGCTAAATGATATTTAGTGAGATCTCTAATTGTCAAAGATTTTCAAGAACCAAATTTTTGATTTTTTGGATGTGTTCCTTGTCGGTAGACATTTGATGGTTGTCCAGAGTGCGGTTCTTTTTATATATTATATATAATATACATATAATACAAAGTTTTATTTTTTTATTACAAATTTGGCATGACAACTGGTATAAAATATAACTTATATATTTATGTGTATATATATAAATGTTTATACATTTATGTGTATACATATAAATTTATATACATTTATATGTATACACCTAATTATACATTTATTATACTCTGACTTGAATTAAATATAACTATAACATATATAACATTCACTTTTTTCAATAAAAAAAAATTAAAAAAAGTTAAAAATTGAAATTAAAAGTAATTAATAAAATTACTATTCTACTTGTTTTACTATTTTACCTAATGTTTTCATATTTCCAAGCAGTGAATCTTGGTAGATGAGACAATACAGCATCAGTAAAATTTGTGTAGTAGTAATATCAACACATTTATAAAATCCAGAAAAGACTCCTAAAATTTTCTCTTCATCAAATTCTTCAAGGGAGTTAGTTTGGCGTTTTGAAGACTTACCAACACCCACAGTGTTGATGATCGAGTGTACAAATGTTTCAATAAGAGGAAGCATCAGAGGGTGAACAGGTGTAGTACAACAACAAAGCTGGTTAAATAACCAATCCTAAGTATAAAAAAAACAAACTTCTTTTCACTTTTTCATGATCAAAACAAAAATAAACTACCAAGATACCAAATATTAAAATAAAACAACACACAAGTTTAAATGTTAGAGATTGTTTAACAGGATTTACAAAAAATTATAATAAAATATTATTTCAAGCTGTTACAATTAACCACCACCATTGCCACAGGTCCAACTACATTTACAACATGTTTTTTAACCTTGTCTAAAAGAGAAAGGGTATCATTAGAAGAATCAGCTCAAATATGGAAAAAGATCTATAGAGATAGAGAATTGAATTTGAGTAAGAAAAGGGATTATATATCATCCTCTTCATTTCCTTATTCTCGATATAAAAATATACAAAGAGATAAAACTTTAGTAGATGCTAACTGAGCACCAGCCAGGGTTAGAGATAAGCTGCCAATCAAGGAGTGAAGATAAATGACAACTATTCCAGACAAGTCTAATAGATTAACTCTAATTAACTTAAGTTAAAAATGAGTTAAAAATAGGAAAAAATAAAGGCGTTGAACTTTAGTACCAGCAGTGTCAATGGTGTTAGTCCCATTCAGTGTGATATAAGAATTAGTCATTGATGACAACAATTTTGGCTGGACTGATAAAGAGAAAAAAGGCTTTGGCAATTTTATCAGAAATAGCATCAAAAAGAGTACCATCTTGAGAAGAATGAGAATGATAAAGAACAAAGAGAAAGGTTATTGAGTGAAAAGATGCTAAATGAAAGTTCATAAAATCACTGATTAAAAATTATTTTTTTAAAGTTTCAAAAGATAATTTTAAAAGAGTTTTTAAAAACATTTTCAAAACATAAACCATATCACAATGGGCCAGATGGTGGACAAACCATATCACAATGGGTCAGGTGGTAGATACTACAGCTGGTGGACAAAAGAGTGTAAAAAAAAGTGAAATTTTTAACTTTTATGCATAGCTACAGTAAACAATAACTTTTAATATACTACGTACAGAATCAGTTAACTAATTAATTATTCAAATTATTTAGTAATATAGGTTTTATATAATGAAAAGTAAATTATAGTAACACATAAGTAACACATAACTTAAAAGTAACACATAACTCAAGCAACTTACGAGAACCTAAATTAAGTGCTTAAACTAGTAAATGCAATGTATACAACCTATTTTAACTATACACATTGCCCAAAATTTTTCTTTAGGGTTTCTTCATCATTTTAATATAATGAACTTTAACTTATGTTATTTGCTTGAAATGGACTTTTTTCCCATCCAAACAAAAATATGTTATTTTGTTTCTGATTCAATGCAACACAAACTGTAGTAACCCATAAATTTGTTTATTTGTGTAGTAATAATATGAAATTGATGACATTCACTAATGACATTATTACTATTACATGACAAATTATATAATAATATATATTATTATATGACAAAGCAAACTAATTCTTAATAATATATCATTCCTTTCCATCAATTTTAACTCTTCTAGTTTCTGTATTAGTGAATTCTGAGTGCAAACTTTATATAGTAAAAAGTCGATAGTTGCAAACAGTCATTTTGAGTATTATCAAAGATTTTAAACCTACAGTTAAATTAAACTACATTAAATGCTACATCATCAGTTAATAAAATTTGAAGACCATGTCGCTCTTTTGAAAAAACTTGTAACAGAACAAAAAAAAAAAACTTAACAATGTTTATCTAGTTCCGAAGCAACAAAATTAAAACTAAGAAATAAGTTTAAGTGCAGACTGCCAAAATAAAATTGCTGAAATTTCAGACCCCATTGAAGTTGTATTTACCTGATGAATACTTAGTTTTAATTAATGATGGTGGTCAAAATCAACATACCATTTTTTTAATCATAAATTTTTTTGGTATAAAATCAGGGTTGTTGGAATGGATGAAATGAATGGTGAATGAATGAATGAATGAATCACAAAAACGCTATAAACTAGTGTTATCCAGAATGTGCTTAAAATAGATTTAAAAAATAAAATAAATACACTATTATATATATTGCTTAAAGCATCGTAAGTATCTGACAATTTGGTAATAGAGTTTCAAATCTTAAATTTTTATTTAGACTTAAGTAAGTGTACAACTTTACTTTGAGTTTATTCTACCAGATGAGGGGTAATGACATTGAACTGCTGTGTCTTTTTTGTTCATCATAGTAATTTTGACACAAGTAAAAATAGAAGAGTTTTTTATTCAGTTTCACATTCTGAGTTATCACATTATTTTAAGAATTTAACTAATTTGAAATAAAAAAATTATAAACCCACATTTCTAAATGCATAAAGATTGTTAAATAACTTTCAATATTAGCAATTATTTAACTAAAATTTATAAAAGTGAAGTTGCCAGGTAACTAAATATATCTAAACACAAAGTGATTGTCTAGAAATTCAAAGGGTTTTATTAAAAAATAATAATAATAATTTTGTCCACCATATGAGCAATATCCAATGTACATTAGGCAAATAAAACAAGCTAATTATATACTTAAGTCATTGCATTCATTTACCTATATTGATTGTGTGCGTTTATTATTATTTTTTTAATTTTATTTTCATTTAATTTTGTTTGTTATCAGATGTTTCAGATTGCGCAAATTTGTTATGAAATTAAAAAATGTGATTGAGAATTTGCTTTACAAAATCACTTGAAAAACAAATAAATTTAATTATAAATATATTTATATATTTATAATGAAAATATATAAATTTATATTTATATATTTTTTCCTATTTCTTTAACAACTTAGATTAGATAAGTTTTTATAACATTTAAAACATCAGTCAGTTAAAATGTACAAAAAAAAGTTATTTAAACTTTATATGAAAAAATGAATGAAAAACCTTATAAAATGAATGAAAAACCTTATAAAATGAATAAAAAACCTTATAAAATGAATGAAAAACCTTATAAAATGAATGAAAAACCTTATAAAATGAATAAAAAACCTTGTTCTTTGAAAAAGAAAACTTAAGCTCTATTGATTTAAAAATCAAAAATTTTCACTTATCCAATTCAACAAAAAAATTAAGTTTTATGGAAAGACAAAAAAATTCCTTGATTTAAGTTTTATGGAAAGACAAAAAAATTCCTTGATTTAAATTTTTATGGAAAGACAAAAAATTCCTTGATTTAAGTTTTATGGAAAGACAAAAAAAATTCCTTGATTTAAATTTTATGGAAAGACAAAAAAATTTCTTGATTTAAGTTTTATGGAAAGACAAAAAAATTCCTTGATTTAAGTTTTATGGAAAGACAAAAAAATTTCTTGATTTAAGTTTTATGGAAAGACAAAAAAATTCCTTGATTTAAATTTTATAGAAAGACAAAAAAATTCCTTGATTTAAATTTTATGGAAAGACAAAAAAATTCCTTGATTTAAATTTTATGGAAAGACAAAAAAATTCCTTGATTTAAATTTTATGGAAAGACAAAAAAATTCCTTGATTTAAATTTTACGACAAAATAATAAGTAGAACTAGAGCCATTCAGTGTCAAGTAAAAGCACATGAAAAGAATAATCAGAGAATTCAAACCAGATTTCACAACAAATAAGTAAATTGATAGAGAAGTATGTGTCCAGGTCAAGTATGTTACTACTAGACTATTTGCAAGCCAATGCAATGAAAGCAATCCAAAACAATGGAACCATCAAACTGCAATCTAGAAGTTGCACCAATCAAACTTATAATGATCTCACAATAAGCAAATAAGTTTGGTAAACTTTGCAAAAGATAAAAATTTACTAAGGAAAAATAACTTGATAAGCCAAAAAAATCTATAAAAGATAAATTTAGTGATAATTTTTTTTTTATACCTATAATATTTTTTGATCCTCAAGTTATTAGAGAACCGTTAGAGACTCTATCATGTACTTGGCATCCCAAGCTATGCTTCACTCCTGCTAATCAACCCAAAACTATAATATGGAGCTTTTTATGTGACCTTGACAATGCGTATCAAAAGTACTAACAAGTATATTCATGTGCAATAAGCTTTAGAACTATTTGAATAAGTTTTAGACCTGCATTATCTGCTTTTCCTAAAAATAATTAAATGCCCCTGAAAAATAATACTAATTAACATTAATTAAAATTTTAAAAGATAACTTAAATTAAATAAAAAATGCTAATTAAATTAATAAAGGGACTCCGAACCTCAGAGAATGATAAAAAAAATGCTTATCTTAAATTTTTTTGATTAAAACAAATGAATAAATACATACCAAGCATCTCGGTTCTCCGTTTTGTTGTGGGCCAAATAGTCTTCATAATATATGCTGTAATCTACAGACTTGATAATTTATTCAAGTGCATTTTATTCATATGAGTTATTGTACATGAAATCAAGGATTTTTTTGTTTGTTTAAAAGATCGATTATGTAAACGAACAAAAAAATAAATGACGTCATGTACTATAACTCATAGTAATAAAAAGCGTTTGAATAAATTACCAAGTCTGTATATTGAGGTGTATATTATAAAGACTATTTGACCTACAACAAAACAGAAAAGGGAATCTTCAACTAAAATAAAAAAACTATTTTTTTTGGTATGCATTTATTTTTTTATTTTAATCAAAAAAATTAGGCCCAAACATTTTTTTTTTTTAATCATTCTCTTTATTTTGGACACAACATGTCTCGGAGGTTTGAGATCCCTACAAAGTATTAATGAATTAAAAAATAAATAATAAAAGTTTTTGAACTGACTATATATAATATAACATAGTACCTTGACAGGAATTGAATGTTTAGTAAACACTTTAGACTTCATTAGTTGGAGCACACAATGCACTGGAAGAAAACCTTTAATATTTGCACTCAAATCTTTTGTGATAGCAACAGTTAAAGCATGCTCTGCCACAACCTGTTTAAACAAAACAAACTTAAGAAAAATGAAACCAAAAAAGGAAAAAAATGAATAACACAAGTATAAAAAAAAAGTTTACACATAAATTATTACCAACTTAGTTAACCATATACAAATAACTAGTGCTAATATATGTGAAAGATCTTAAATTTACAGAAGGAATATATTCATTAGACTAAAAACAAATGCTAGGTTTGGTTGAAGTCCTCTTGCTTGAAGATATTTTTTCTGATTGCATGGCCTTAAGCCATTAATTTTTATTAATCTTTTGCAAAACCAACTGTCAGTGGTACAGTAATGGCCAACCATGGTTGTAACAGGCATCAAGCCAACATAATGTTAGAGAGTTCAATTCCAAAGTGAAACTTATTATTATTTAATATAGTGTAAAAAATTTAAAACTATTTATATTTGTTAATTTTATAAATTATTTGCAAATATTCTGCAAAATAAAAACTTGAAAAATTATTTTTACAAAGAGATATTTAGGTAAAAAATAAAAAATTCTTTTATTTGAAAAAATAAATACATGAATTATTTTGCAAAATAAATAAATATAAAGTTATTTATTTTAAAAAGTCATACAAAAAAAAAAAAGTTAGATGTATAATATTATAGCTACAACTAAACATATTATACCACAGGTACAAGTCTTTATACTAACAATAAATAGTTGGAAAAAAAAACCAACTAAATAATACACCATTTTACACCTTATTGTTTTAAATCATCGCTGCAAAACAATCTTAAGTCCATTTTTTCATTTAATAAAATCAGGTACTACGGAGATTACTTTAACTCCGGCTAAATAAAAGTATAATTAAATATGCTTAATTAATTATTATAAATCTACTGAATAAATATGCTTAATTAATTATTATAAATCTACTGTCCATTTTTGCTGTTCTGAGAAACATTTTTTAATTCATCACTGTGTTTGATCTTTTTAATTAAACCAAGTTGCTTTAAAAATACTTATAAAAAATGTTATTATTTTTCATAACATAACAAATACATAACAAAAAATTTAAGTTTATGAGAAGCGACAAATCTTAAATCTGTTTTGGCTGTTCTGAGAAAAAGATATTTAAAGTTTTAAATTTAATTACTGTTTTTGATTTTTTCGTTTAAATCTACTTGTTTTCAGTTATTATTAAGTATTTTAAACCAAAAAAGTCAATTTTTCCCAAAATGGACTTAAGATAGTTTTGCTTTGCAATGGCAAAATAGTCAATTGATTTAAAAACCTTTAGCCTATTAGCAACCAAATATTTTTAAACTGTAAGATTTTCAATTAGCGATGTTAAGTATTAAAAGTAAGTATTAAAATTAAATGGTTTATTCAATATTAAATAAATCTTGGTTCAGAAATAGCATCATTAAACCAAGTATCATAATATACTTGCTTGAAAAGCAAATTATTTGCAAAGCAAAATCTGAGGCTATCTGATTAGATAATTAATTTTCAATTTCATATGGTTTTCAAGTTTCATAATTAATTTTCAAGTTTCAAATAATTTTCAAGTTTAATATAGTTTACATAGGATATGGTATCATCTGGGAAAGTTTTTGAGATTATCAAACCTTTTTTTTCTAACCATTTTATTAAAATCATCTTCGAAGGTCAACACTCTTCTTTATTTCCAGTAACTTCTGGGGTACCTCACGATTCTATCCTTGGTCCTATTTTGATTCTTATCTACATTAATAATCTTCCCGACAACCTTACACCTCTTTTTGCTGATGACTCAACTTGATGACTCCTGTCTTATATAAAAAAGTCCTCTTTTTGATTACTTAGGCCGATCTTGAATCTGATCTCACTTCTGTAACAGATTGGGGCTCACAATCGTTTATAAATTTTAACTCCAACAAAATTCACTTGTTTACTGCAAACAACTATTGCAGTACTGCTGACATTCCTATATTAATAAATGGTAACCCTCTCACTGAGTTTTCTTCTTTAAGTCTTCTTGGATTATTGTTTACTACTGACCTTTCATGGAAACCAAATATACAACTAATTTCTAAATTAGCAAGGTTTACAATGTGTTTCTGGACCTTGGTATGACAAGGTCCAGAAACACATTGTAAACGTTGAATGCTGCCTATCTGTTAAGCTTGAGCCTCTTTCCCATTGTTGTAAAATTGCATTTTTTTCTCTTTTCTACAAACACTATCATAGCTGCTGTTCAAAGGAGCTTTTATATCTAGTTTCATCAACTAAAAATCATTCTCGCTAGACTCGTCATTCATCAAAGCCTCATTCTTTTACTGTATCTGTCCCTGCAAACTCCAAAAACTTTTATTCGTCTAACTTTTTTCCCTGCACTTTAACCCTTTGGAACTTTCTACCATCTTCATGTTTACCTAACTCATACAACCTATAACTTTTCAAGCCTTTTGTCAACTGTTTTCTTGCTCTATAACTCTATTCTTTTTTTCTAGTAACTCCCAACTTAATAGTGGTTGCAGATTTATTGGGAGTGAATTAATAAAAAAAAAAAAAAATTAATCAATATTCCAGGTATTCTTTTGCTTTTTTAAACTTTTTTTAAACAATTTTATTTTAAAACCAATTTATTTGAGCTCAGGATTTCATTTTTTCCATTTTTAATGAACTTCTACTATATACTTGTGTCCAGTTTAAATTGATGCATTATTCTCATCTCATCATAGCAATTTTAGTCAAGTTTGGGGTCATTAACATTTTTGCATATTGTATTAACAAGTTGCTATCATCTCAGCGTCAATCCTTAAGATTAATAAACTTCTGCCCAATTCAATCAGATACATCAGAGTCCTTCAAAAAACTTTTCATTCCAACATTTCCAGCATTAGTAAAGTATGCTAATCTTCTTTTTTTTTGACTCCTTATATAAAAACTTACCATCTATCACAAACTTGTTCACAGAAAGTAGACTAGTAGAAACATACACAATCGAAATCTAAACGTACTATCTTTTAAAACCCAGAAGTATAGTAAACATTCTATTGTTTATCAGTGCATCTGTGAATGGCTAAGGAGCCTTGCATGCATTTTGAATGAGTCCAAAAAAACTATATCCTAAAATACCTTTACTCCATTTTAAACAAAATCAATTAAAAAAAATTCTGAAAAATATTTTATTTTAACTTTTAGACATCCTTACAATTAAAATATTATTTTAATTTTCTTTTCGTTATTGCTACAACTATCATCAATACCTTTTATTTTTTTATTATTATAACCTGGAAATTATAACTTCTACATGTTTATTTATATGTATGTTCTATGTGCTTTAATCTCTGTGTTTACAGTCCATGTGTTTCAATATTAAAAATTGATGTCACTCCTTTGATCAGATTTCTGTATGAGTGACACCATCCTAATAAATCATTAACTTATTATTATAAATAATTTTATGCTTATAACTACCATTATAAAATTTATTATTATTGTTTTTTCATTATAATTATTGTAATTACAATGAAATTTGTAGAAAACATAAATATTTTTCCTTAAAATTTATTGCCAAAAAATTATGTAATAAAAAGGCTCAAGACTCTTAGAAAAAATTTAACACAATGTTTCTCAGCAATAATACAAAAAATACTTATTTTTATTAGAAACAAATATTATTTTTAAAATCTCTGTAAAAATACGCTTCTTTTGAGACCCAGGTTGACATACTTTTAAATAATTTTTCGACAATATTAGGGATTTTACCCAAATGTTAAAGATCTGAACCCAAATATTTTTACAACTTGATGTGATGGTAAAAAATGAGTTGCATATTTGCAATCAAAATGAGAAATGCCATAAAAAAACAAATTGTTTGCTCAGCACCAGAAAAAATTTGTGTGTGTGTGTGTGTTATTGCTATTACTATAATTTGTATTGATTTTTTTAATCTTACATTATTATTATATATAATTTTTATTATTACTATTATTAATGTTATTATTATTTTTATTATCAAAACTATTGTAAAAATGATTTACGGAAAATAAATAGCTTGTTATTGCTTTTATTGATGATGATTTGTTATTGGTCACATATCACGTTTGTTTCTTTTAAACTAATTAAATCAATTATATAATTTATTTAATTATTTAATTTTAAAGTATAAATCGTTTAAATTTTTTGAAACTTTATTTAAAAAATTTTATTTGTAAATTTTTCTTATGTTTTTTAGTTTTATGCTTGTTTAACTTTTTCAAGATTAATATTTTAGACTAACTGAATTCAATAAATTTTCTATTGAATTCAAATTAATAATAAAATTGAACTCTTAATTTTTTTTCAATCATTATTTACATTCAAATTTTTTTTTGTTTTATTTTATTATTTATTTTGTTTGTAATTTTTATTTTTTTTATATTTAAAATATATTTTATATTTAGTGTATATTTTTATTTATTTTTCGTTAAGTATACATTCTTATTATATTTAATATATATATACTATTAAATCTACTGGATACCATCTTTTAGAAAAACGATTTACTATTAAATCAACTGGAACCTTTTAGAAAAGTGATTTAAAAAAGAACTTTTTTTTTATCATCAAAAACAATGAACTCATTATTAAATTACTTTTTCAGAAAACACTTGTTGAGTAAAAAGTATTTTAACTCTGGTCAGCGAACTTGGTCGAAGTTTGATGCCCAATGTTTCACAAATCAGATCAACAACAGGTTCAAATGTGTTATTATGAAAGTGAATAGCTATTAGCAGTAAAGTCTCTCCATAAGAAGATTCCCCAACTTTATCGTCAAATAATGATGATTGCTTAGGTAAACTACTTAGCCAAGCAACAATTTTATCTTCGCGTTCTGGAGAGCTAAAACATTTTAAATAAATATTTCATAAATATATAATTAATATTTCATAAATATATAATTTAAACTTCTTAGACTATCAAATAAAACAAATATATAAAAGAACCTTATCAAGAATGCACATGCTACTAAAGTACATAACCCAACAACAACAAAACGCACACCAACAGCTGTTATTGATGGCTTGCAAGTAATGAGCTCAAGCAACACCTCTGATTCTTCTATAGAAAACTTAAAACCTGTTACAGTTTTAAGAGCACAATAAAAGCGCATAATTGCAATCCCATGAAGTATTTTAAGACTGAGTTTACTATCATCACAGTCTAAAAACAACATCAAAATATGGTTATATAATGAATAAAAAAGTTAAATAATGAATAGTGTATAATACAAGCGTACATATATAAGCTTCTATGTGAAAAGTATATATATACTGAGAGTTTTGGTCGGGGACAACAATAATTCTAAAAACAACATGTAATGTAATGATTGTACATGTAATGATTGAGAGTTTTGTTTGGGAACAGCAGTATTATATATAATATATAACAAAAATATAAATAAAATAAATAAATAAAAAAACTCACCTTTGTGTATCAATACATTAATGACACCTTCCATTTCTTCAATCAGTTGATATTTCAACATGGATAAACCATTTTCTTTAGTGTGTTCCTTTTTTGGGAAAAATTATGAGTTATGACAAACAATAATTTATTAATTAAAATTTTTCCACAATTTGTAAAAGTAATAAAAGTTTAAAAATAATTTGTGTGTCAAATGTGCTGACTAGTATTATATAAGTATTTTAAAAGAGAGAGCAAGGAACTGAATAAAGAGAGAGCAAGGAACTGAATAAAGAGAGAGCAGGAAACAGAATAAATTCAAAATAAATCTGCTTTTTCAAAAATCCTAATACTCATTTACATCTCTGTATGAAATAATCTTTTTTAGTTAGTAGAATAAAAGTGCGTCAAATGAAATAGTTAAGAGTTTTAATTCATTTTTAGAAATAGAAAAAGATTTTTAATTTTTTTTAATTCATGTAATAATTCTTTAAGAGGTTCTGGAGGTTGAGTTGAGTTGCACTTTTAGGTGCAATAAAACTCTGTGCCTTTTATATATATTGCTTTAAAATCCATGTAAATGCAAAGCCAAACCTTGCAATTTAAATTTTTGCACTGATAAATTCACTGATAAATTGACTAGTTGAAGCTTCACTCAAAACATTACAAGACTTTATACACTTGGTTGTTGCTGTTGGAGTTGCTGTTGTTGATTGATTTGTCTGCTGTTCATCATAAAAGTCAATCTTGCGTTGATTCCTAGCTTACTTTGCTGCTTTTTTGCTGTCAGCATCTTTCAAATATTTCATATTTATTATAATTCTTTGTGACGTTTTTTTGTATCAACAAAAAAACTGATTGAAGGTTGGTTGCAGGCAAGTTGACTGTGAAGTTGACTTTAGAGCTGGTACTATACAATGTATGGTGATGCTAGATCTGGTTAATGAAGATTCAGAAGACAGTGGCTGAGAAGGTGTTTTTAGTAGTGCTGGTGGTGGTGCTGGCATAGATTCTGGTGGTTGAGATAACAAAAGCTCAGGTTAAGATAAAAGTGTTTCAAACGTATTAGCTATTTATAATTTAGATTGAATGATTTTCTTGATGTTGAGTGGAAACAAACTAGTATTTTGAAATCCAATGACCAAAAAAAAAAAATCCAATTTTTTTGCATGTGTATAAAAAACTTTTTCTAACTTTGCTACTATTTCTTGCGTGCAAAAAATAGTAGCGAAATTTTCATCACTCAGAGCCACTTCTTACATGCAGAAATTTTCATCACTCAGAGCCACTTCTTACATGCAGAAATTTTCATCACTCAGAGCCACTTCTTACATGCAGAAATTTTCATCACTCAGAGTCACTTCTTACATGCAGAAATTTTCATCACTCAGAGTCACTTCTTACATGCAGAAAATTTCATCACTCAGAGTCACTTCTTACATGCAGAAATTTTCATCACTCAGAGTCACTTCTTACATGCAGAAATTTTCATCACTCAGAGCCACTTCTTACATGCAGAAATTTTCATCACTCAGAGCCACTTCTTACATGCAGAAATTTTCATCACTCAGAGCCACTTCTTACATGCAGAAATTTTCATCACTCAGAGCCACTTCTTACACGCAGAAATTTTCATCACTCAGAGCCACTTCTTACATGCAGAAATTTTCATCACTCAGAGCCACTTCTTACATGCAGAAATTTTCATCACTCAGAGCCACTTCTTACATGCAGAAATTTTCATCACTCAGAGCCACTTCTTACATGCAGAAATTTTCATCACTCAGAGTCACTTCTTACATGCAGAAATTTTCATCACTCAGAGCCACTTCTTACATGCAGAAGTTTTCATCACTCAGAGCCACTTCTTACATGCAGAAATTTTCATCACTCAGAGCCACTTCTTACATGCAGAAATTTTCATCACTCAGAGCCACTTCTTACATGCAGAAATAGTAGACCATTTGAAATTGATTGGCAACAATAAAAAAATCAATTATACAGTTGGAAATTAATGCTGCTGGTTATCATCTAGTGCCATACATAACTTTTAAACCAAAAAAAAGTCTGTACAAAATTGGTACTTAGGTGGTCCAGATGATGCCGTATACACAACATCTTTGTCCAGATGGACGGAAGAGAGGCAACTTGTGCAGTGACTCATTGGCATGTATATTTCTGCTATTTAAAAAAGTCCAGGTAAAAATTAGTTTAACTAATTAACTATTTAATTTAACAAATCAAACTTTGGTCCAATTATAGGTAGGGGAGAGTGTGTATGAAAGAGCCAGGTTTTGAAAGGTTTTAATAGCCGATGCTATTATATCTAACTTACTGGCACCTGACCATAATTGTATTTTACTTTTTGTGTGGCAACGCTGGATACCTGTCACCCGCAAAAAATTTAGAGTTCTACTAAAATAAATAGTGCCGTAAGGGTGCACTAAAAATTTTGAAAATAAAAAATAATTTTTTTGGGTTTTACTTATTTATTTTTAAGTTAAAGAATGTTTTATTATTTGATTAAACATATGCTCCATTGTTATATATATATGTGTCCTTCTTTTCCACAAATAATATTAGATTAAAGTTTTGGTAAAAAATGTTTAATTTCAGGTTATTTTTTTTACCATACAATTTTTTGAAAGAGCCACTTTTTTATGCTATGAAAAAGCTGGCCGTTTTTAATTAGCTTTGGTTTTTTTTAAAACTTAATAAATGTTTTGCGCTTTAACGACTTTGTAATGCTTCATTGATCATATTCTATTGAAATTAATTGTTTGAATGACTTTTCCTGAAGTCTTAAAATGTTTGTGCCTTTGAATTTTAAAAAATATATTCAAATACTAATAAAGTTTTTAATAAAACTTAATTTTTTTTAATAAATAAAACTTATTTTTGTTTCAAACTTTCTAATATTCTGTCAAAACTTATTTTGTATTATTATATTTACTCATATATCACAAGCATCGTTAATATATGTGAAATGCCTTATAATCACTATAATTCATAGATAACATTTATCGTCAAGATGTAGCCAAAACAATATGTTCTTTTGACTAGTGTTTATAAATTTTTTTTTATAAACATTTGACTATTTTAATACTTTTGTTTTTTTCATTCTCATTGAATATTTTTTATCTTTAAAAAAAAACATGTCTTCACAAGTATTAACTACGAAAAGAGACGTATTTTTTTAATAATATAGTGAAACTATTATTAAAGCTGTTTTATCATTTGTTTTATCATTGATTATCATAGAATTATATAACTTAAAGTACAATCTGATTTTTAGAAGTCTAGTTAACAAATTATTACTCTTGAAAGACTTGTTAGTTTAAAGTTTTAGAAAAAACGTTACGGCTCATTCATAGCATAGAGTGGCTCTTTCATTGACAAGATGTTATGAAAGAGCTGATTTCTCTCTTTTTAAAATTAGGTGTATGACAGATTATTAGTATTGTTATCCAATTTATTTTAATTTTATAATATTATCCAATAACGTAACTGTTTAATTAAAGAATTTTTTTTTTTTAAATTAAACAAAATTGACTTTTTTTCATACCCCCCTAAAACTGGCTCTTTCATACACACTCTCCCCTATCCATATTTTAGTCATAGATGACATATGTCACATATGACACATGTTACCTATCATGTTGTACTCACTTGTAGTAAAAATAATACCTTAATAATTTGCTTACCAGCTCATTCTGTTTCCACTATCTGTTGGTTCTTCTGTTTCCACTAGCTGTTTCCATTTCTGTTTCCACTAGCTGTTGGCGTTTATTGCCATGTCAAAGGAGTTTGGCACAAATTACTTCAGAAGTTTTAAATAGAACTTTATTAACATCAAAAAACAAATCAAAACTACCAAGTAACAGTCTGGCTAGAGTCTATACAACTAAATGCAATTGGTCCAGAATTTACATAGGTGAAACAAAAATGCAGGTAAATACGTGGATGCATCAACATCAGACCTAATCAATCTGCATTAGCATTTCATAAAACCTTTTGCAAAGAAAATATTATTTGGGAAAAAACAAGAACGTTAAAGGTAGAAAATAAAAAGTTTGTAAGAAAAATTTGAGGGACAAGAAATACAAAATAACATGTGATCTGCGCAAAACAGCAGGATTAAACTTGATGAAGATCAGTATGTCAAAACTATGTTTTGGATGCCATTTTTTAAATTTAAAAACAAACAAAGCCATTCAACCGCTGATGTCAATATTAACAATTTTATATTAAACATAACGATTAAAAATAATTGTAACATTTTACAAATTGATGATGCTGGTATTAATAACCTAGCAAAAATTTCTTATATAATAAAATTATTAGTATTGAGAGAAACTGTATTTCTTGATGTTTTAAAATCAAATAACCTATGCTGTTTTTTTTTTTTTTTTTTTGAAAGCAAGTTTTTTCGAGGCATATTTTATATCAGAATAGATTTGATAATAATCAATTTAAAAGTTGAAGGAAGAATTTGAAAAGATTCATTTGTCAGTTTAGACACAAATAATTAATAAAAGCCCTACTTACCAAGTGATTCTTTCTATCCTCTGTTTCATTTGATCCAATTTTACTCTACAGATTCAAAAAAAAAAATCACTTAAAAAAGCTTTGAAACTAGTTAAAGTTGAAACTAGTTAAAGATTTTGAAACAAAAATTAAAGCTACTTAGAGAATGATTTTAAACAAAACCCTTACTGAAAACCATATCTTGTCAGAAAAACTAACACAATAGTGAACAATTCATTTCTAATTTATAAATAGCTATTTATAGCAAGGATAAATTATTTGAGCTAGTACAAACCAATTTTAAATTATAATTGTTTGCAGAAAAACCTATGATTGTGTAACAAGCAATTGGAGGTCATTACCTCTTGACCTCATTATTATGAATGCAATTATATACGAAACAGTGTTAACATCAACACAATCAAAACTTTGACAAACTTTATTGCCAATAATTCCAACAAACACTTCTTTTTACTCTTCAAACACTTCTTTTTCTATATATGTTATATATATATATATATATATATATATATATATATATATATATATATATTTTCTATATATGTTTTCGTATGTTTTCTATATATGTTTTCATATGTTTTCTATATATGTTTTCGTATGTTTTCTATATATGTTATATATATATATATATATATATATATATATATATATATATATATATATATATATATATATATATATATATATATATATATAACATAAATGTCATATATATGTTTTCGTTTAACTGTAACAATGACTTTATATTTTCATCTTTTATAGCAGGGAATGATTACTTAACCTGGTTCACAGTTTTTTCTGTTCTAGATTGAGAATACAATAACAACAAAATATTTCTTTATTTAGCAGAAACAAACAAAAAAAGTTATTTATTATAATAACTGTTTTAGTGAATTTGAGATTCATCAAATCAGTTTTTTCCTACAATTTATGTATATATGTATGTATGTATGTATGTATGTATGTATGTATGTATGTATGTATGTATGTATGTATGTATGTATGTATGTATTTATGTATAGGGGAAGTGGGTGCATAAGCGCATATGGAGGCAAAACTGTTTTTTAACATTTCCTTATGAAAAATATTATCTAACATGGCAACAAACATTCCTTGCGTTGGTAAAACAGTTTCCTTCATTTCTCTTATGTTAAAATAAGTGCCTGGTGCATTTCTGAGAAGTTGCGCATTATGTTTATTTTGATAAAAATATTATATTTACATCATACTTTTCCAGACATTTTTTACAAGGCTTAAGCAACATTTGACTTTAGTGTTAAACATGTGTTATCAGCGTTGTTTCATCAAGTGAAAAACATTTTTGATATCAACGTAACCTAAGTAGCAAGCTATGAAACTGTATTCTTTCTAAAAACTGTCTATTTGGGCAAAATCGCATAGTCGCACAGGAGGCACAACCACATACTTTTGATATTTATCATAGCTAGATAATTATGAATGACAATGATTTAAATTGTCCCACTTGAATGCGTTTATGTAAAAACTTAAATTAGGCCTTGCAATAAAGCGTCGGCCGATGTGAATTTTACGTCGTCCAAGAGTGATTTTGCGTGTAGCTAGGGCTATTTGCGTCAAGCAAAAAATTTTTTGTTTGAGTATATTTAAAGATATTTTTGAGCGGAATTTTAATGAAGTAATTTACGATTACTTTAACATTTAATAAAGTATTTTAAAAACCGCACGCAGTTGATATAAAAGTTTGAATTACAAAAAAAATAAATATGCTCATTATTTACAAGTAGGAAAAATTCAGATTAAAAAAAAAGTTTGAATCTTTTTAAGCTAACATTTTAATAAAATTATTCAGCAATAGCAAAGTTGTCAATAAAATTGAACAAAAATACTTTCTTTTAGTTTTAGATTTTTAATTTAAATAATTATTTTACGGGGGTTTGTTTGATTTTAAAATTATTCCATAGATTTAAAAATACTTATAAACTGTTAGACGTATTTAAAGTATTTAAGAGTAATTTCGAGGAAACATTTAAAAAATTGGTAAGCGCAAATAAAAAAAAAATAAAAGGATTAATATTAAAACGTATTCTACTTGATTCAATAAAAAAGTACAGTTATTAAAATTTTTGTAAAAAGTAACTCAAAAAAAATTACTTAAATAATAACAATTGCTTTTTTGCTAAACGTTACCGAAACTCAACGAAGCGTGCTCAAGAACAGCTGCTGAAATATAGAACGTCAATAGTTTGATAAGTTTATATAACCTGGTTTTGTTACCCCGTTTCTACCGATGTAAAGCGAACTTCCACAAATACCCTGAAAAAAGGCTCAATAAAAATTAATCCTCACATTTAACCACGTAATGTTTTCTTTTTTTTATTTTAACGCACCTTTTATTAAATATTGTTCAATATGCAAATTTTTTCGCAGAAATATGTCTTTAATACCTATAAGATTTTTATTCTAACATTTTATTTTATTAATTCCTTGTAAACATTAAAAATCTATTCAAAACGTTTGTTAAAGTTTTTTTAGTAATATGAGTGATTGTGCTTATCAATCGCTTTATGAAAATAAATAAAAATAAATAAATAAAAAAATATTATATAAAATCGCTGGTAAAAATATTAGCTATTGCACAGTTTTTAATCGTACAATATTAAAATTTCCAATTTATTACTCGCTGACTTTTTAAAAAGAAAAAATAACTATTTGAAAACTTTAAATAACATATTTGAGAAAAAAAAAATCAAATATTAGCATATTTTATAATCTTTTATAAATGTTTAGTTATAATGTTTTTTATTCATTTAGTATAGACAAAACGTGTCAAACGTCGAGAAAATAAACAAATGTTTTTACATTTTAAAAAACGAAACATTCCAAAACATTTTAAAATAATAACATTTCTACATTAATGATTTAAAGTAGTTTTGCGGTAATTAAGTAAATTGGTGCAGTTAATGTCAATAAATATGAAAAGCAAATAAAAAGAATTTAATGACGTCAAAAATCACGTCGTGCTTATGCGTCGCGCAGTTTTTATTCATCACAAGGCCTGTTAAATAAAAATAGTTTTGTTTTGATAAGTTGGAAATTATGTTTCGTACTTTTTTATTTTTGATTAAAATATAAAGCTAAGAGTATGTTATATTTATATTTTTTATATTTATGTATATCTGGTGATTATTATGGTGATTATTACTTCACTGCAAGTGAATTATTATTTATATGGTGATTATTATTTCACTGGAAAATGTATCCCTGATATCTTACTCTGAACAAGAAACATTGTCCTCAACATCTGCGGCATCTTTCACAATTGCTACATCCAAGGAAATTGTAAGTATTCCAAATGAGAAAACTCAGCTATCTTGAAAACGATACCAAAAGGACAAAATAGCTATACTCACCAGTTAACCATATAAAGTGGAACTAGAATAGCGCATGGTTCTAAAAACTTTAAAATACATATATATATATATATATATATATATATATATATATATATATATATATATATATATATATATATATATATATATATATATATATATATATATATATATATATATATATATATGCTTAAATAATTGCTAAGACTGCAGAAATAAAAAATGCCAACCTACAGAAATTGTAAGTATTTTGAATGAAAAAACTCAGACTGTAAGTACAAAGAATATCTACACAGTATGAAAACGTGCAACAAAATCAGCAAATAATCTGAGCGTTGACAATTGTAAAAAAAATTAACCATCAAAAGTGTACCCCAAACAACTTTTGTGAGGGTGCAGTTTTGTCTCACACTGGGGGCACAACTGTTTTTTTTACTATGTGTTAATTTGTTAAATAACATTTTCATTAACCGTTATATTTTTTTATTAATTGCAGCAATCTAAAGCTTAATGATTTGGTTATTAAAATAAACTTTAAAAAAATACATTTTGCTTTTATTTTCATATAACATTAATCCAAATGTTACGGGGGTGGTTATGTCCCCACTTCCCCTACTTCATTTGATAGTGCTTATACCATAGTTATACACTTATGTATTACATGGTAATACATCATGGTTATACACCACCATTATAGCATTCTGATTTAGCTTTATAATTTAGTACAAAAAAGTAATAGTTGAAAATGCAATGAAAACGGTAATACCTTCTGAGCAACTTTGATATATTCAGCTAACCAATCTTTTGTTTCCTGATCACTTGCTAATAGTAGACCAGTAAAAAAAGGGACTAAATCACTTGAGTTTTCTAAACAAATAAAGAAAAAAATAAGAAGTATGTAAGAGTTATAATAAGATGTGTTAGAAAAAATAAAATTTTAATAACTATCACCCTCTTGTCGTTTCAACATTTTTAAGAAGTGTAAAAAAAAATTACATACATTAAAACATAGATCCCGATAAAATAAAATTTCCAAACATTAGTTTTTATTTTAATACTTTTTTATAATCTGATTAAATTCACATCACACCTTTCAATTAATCATCACCATTAAACATACATATTATTGAAATGATCGATAGAACATAGACACCTAAGCATCATTTTATTGCAACTGATACGACAAAATCAACACCTAAGCAAGATCATTTTATCGCGACTGATACGACGAGAACAACACCTAAGCAAGATCATTTTAGGCATCTTTACTTGGATTGCTTTAAAGTTAATGTAAGCTCAAGCTTAACTATTGCTACTGTTATAATCCACAGCTATAATCCACAGCTATATTCCACAGCTATAATCCACAGCTATAATCCACAGCTATAATCCACAGCTATAATCCACAGCTATAATTGACAGCTATAACCAACAGCTATAATCGACAGCTATAATCCACAGCTATAATCGACAGCTATAATTGACAGTTATAACCCAAATAATCTGAAGCTATTCTATTAAACAAACTAAGCAAATGCTTAATGCAGCAAATGCTTAATGCAGCAAATGGCTTATTTGTGTAGAGGTATAACTAGCATTTCAAAATTAAATTAAAAATATGTAAAATAAAGCATGTAAAATAAAATATGTAAAATAAAATATGTAAAATAAAATATGTAAAATAAAACATGTAAAATAAAACATGCAAAATAAATTGTGTAAAATAAAACGTGTATAAATTGGTAAAAGAGAGTACTAATTTTTAATTATTTAATTTATTTAACTTTATTTTTTTTTGAAACTTCCTACTACAAATTCTATTACTAGCTATAATAACTACAATAACAACAGATTCTTAGAAATGTAAATTTTTGTTGGTGTTTTGTGCATTTCTAGATTAAATAAACATGCTACCTATTCTATCACTTGACAAAATTATTTAGAACAGTTGTACTAAAATGTAGATTAATTATATGTAGATGTACTAAAATGGATGCTTTATAATTTTTCTTGTTTGTTAATTATTAATTATAAATTCTTAGATAATTAACATTTATAATTGCATACTCTGCCCTACCTAATTATAGGGGAGGGGGGGGGGGTCAAATAGTTAAGGGGAAAAGGCACATCAGTAATAAAGTCACAGATTATTAGGGTGTTGTAATTGTTAAATTAGTGTTGATAGGGGGAATGGGTCATTAGATTGAGGGGGTTAGAAGTTGTAATTTTTAATTTAGAATTTAAAACTATTGGAAGGCAATTGCAAAAAAATCTATGTGATGTTTACTACTGAAATACATGGTTTTATATAGATAAATGTATTTTTTGTATGTACAACTTTGTTTTTAAATTTTGTTTTTCTAGGGGAAACAGGGGGGGGGAAGTTTATTGTTAGAGAGGGTGGATGTTTGGAAAAAAAATTCTTTGTTTGGGCGAGGGGGTAGTAATTAATTAAAATCAAGAAGATTTTTTCCCAAAACTAGAGATTTCACCCCCCCTCCCCCACAATCAGGTAAGGGAGAGTATGCATAACAAAAAAATAAATAAAAAATATTTAAATAGTTTAATAATCTTAGATACAAAAAATCAGCAAGAAAAATGCTGAATTTTTTTAAAATTTTTGTTCAAAAGCTTTTTTCATGTGCAAAATCAACAATAGAGATGTGAACTGAGTATTACATTTAGATATATACTGACAAATTGAATTACAAACTACGCAAAAAGACAAAAAAAAAAATGAAACTAAGAGAGAGAGTTTCATTAAACAAAGAAGATAAAATTTGTGTATGTTAAAAATAACAAACAAAACTTAAAAAAAAAAATAAGTGATTTTCATAAAAAAAAAAAAAAAAAAATGTTCATAAACATTGTGATTCATACCTACACCATTCTCACCAATCGACAACTCGATTGCTAATCCAATTAATTTCCTTGTAGACACACATTCTGCACGCATAATTTTTCTGTATTGGGGATTGATATGGCAAAGCATTTTCAAAGTTTTAATTCTAATTTGAGTTTGTATATTTAAATCTTCAGTAGAAGATGCGTGACTTAAGATGCTTGAGCAAACTAAATAAAGAAGAATATGTTCAAAGAAATCTATCATGCTAAATAATCATCTTCTGATACCAATTATTATTTACTAGCATTAAACAATCAAACATCAAATAACCCTTTACTCATAATTAAATAACCCAGTAGGCACAAGACATGTTTAAGATGCCTAAAAAATTTATTAAAACATATTAATATATTTTATAGACATTTAAAACATGTCTCGTACCTGCTGGGAACCAGCAGTTGTTTAGTGTTAGAGCGATTACTTCATAAACAAGATTTTTTTTTCCTCAGTGCAGTAGACTTGTTTGTCAACGTTTGTGTGTCAGATTTATAGCCTTGTAAGAAAGCAATAACAAAGCTATTTTTATAGTGGTTCCCATTGGGGAAGTATATATTTACCAAAACAACATAATGACTAATATCAAATAATCAGTCACTGACAACAAATAATCAATTACCGATATCAAATGAGTGTGGATTGTTAACAACCAGTATGCAAAGAAGTTCTGGACCAAACCTTAATCTTAATAAAACTTCAGCAAGTTCAGGTAGGGTAAGCAGTGAAGGAAGTTCTAAAAAATAAAAAAGTGATGTAGAAGTAAACATTAAAAAATTATGAGGCTTCAATCTTAAAAAAAGTATGAAGTTTATATTATTTTCAACACTGCATTAACAAAAAAAAAAAAGACATTGTTTTTACTTTTGATAATTTGCGAAATTTATTTAAAATTGTTGAGTTATTTTTTCAACTACATTTTCTTTTTAATTTTGAACAAATTAGATTTAAGAATTATAATATTATAACAAAATGTATTATAAATATCAAATAATATAAAAAAACATTAATATAACAATTGTGCTAGAAAAAACTTTTACTACAAAACCTAATTAATGACAGTTGCATTACTTCAAATCAAGAGATCCTGATAATGATTTATTATTGTTCTGTTCATTGTACTTATTCTGTTAATTGTGCTTGTTCTGTTAAATGTTCTGCTGTGGTACAATTATGCCTCCTAATCTTTTTTATTTGTTTTTTGATCTTGCTTAGAGTAAAAGTGAACTATTCTTACAAGTCTAGGTGCAACCTTGCTACTGTAAACCTTGTGTTCTGAAGATGGAGAAGTGTCAGATATTTTTCTAGGATAATAATTTAAGTGGCAGTACTCCTCTTCTCATCCTCAAAAAATAAAGAGAGAAGAATGCGCTGGAAGTTTGTGTGTTTTTTGTTGTTGTAAAAACAACAATTTATTTACTTACAGTGATATGCATATTTATTATGCATGTTACCACAGTGTCTTAGCATATAAAAATACTATAAAACCATTCTTATGAAAGTATATAATATAGAAATATTATGAAAGTATATAATAAAACAGCCCTTGGTATTAGATTCGAGGTTGTCAAAAAATCCCCAACCTGGTTTTTATTTTTTATGGTAAAACCTTTGTTAAATATTTTTTTTGCCAACCTCTAACAGATTAAAGTTGGCAAATTAATACCAACCTCATTTTTCACACACACACACACACAAACACACATACACACACACACACACACACACACACACACACACACTTACACACACACACATTTCAAGCAATACTATAAAACTTTTATTGTTTAAATTATTTTAGCCAAAAAATTAACTAAAATATGAAATAATAAATGAAACTGAAAACTATAAATAAAAAACCTGCATAAGAAACACAAATTATATCAGAGATATCTTCTAAGTAAGTTACACATTCAAACAACTCTGAATCAAATAGTTTGAAAGAAGCATTTTCTTGAATCTGTAAACAATTTTAACAAGTATTAATTAAAAATTAAAAAAATATCATTATTCATCACTATTACCTATTTTACTTATAATTGTTATTTATTATAGGAGTAATTGCAAGTGTCTATGATGATAGTAAAAACAATTATTTATTATATATTCCATTATCTCTCTTAACAATTATATCTAGTAATTACTACCATCTTATTCATTAAAAAATATCCACAATATTTTTCTCTTATCCCTAATATGAATTATCATCTCTTATTACATAATGTTACCATTTTTATGCAATAGATTGCATAATAGCGGTAATATTATCTCCATAAATTGAAATTATATTCATTATTTTTTACTTCTGTAAAGACTAATAATAAATATTTCTGAAAAAAAAAAGACTAATAACAAATACTTCTGTAAAGACTAATAATAAATATTTTATCTCTTGACTACTATCTGTATCTATTTTTGATAAATATATTTTTTACATTTTTTCTGTTTTTCAAGTCTCTAATTATTATTATTTATAAGTATCTACCTTATTTACTATTATCTACCTTATTTAGTATAATCTTTATTAATTATTAAACATTACTTGCGCAGAAACACGAAGAATTTCACTGAGAACAAGTCGAATACGTTTTATTTCATCACTCTCCTCAAACTCTAACAAAATTCCTTTTGATTCTCCAAGTAAATCATTTGACATTTCAATGCTTCCAAGCTTTTTGTGTAAATGCTGCTCTTTTATAGCATCTTCATGAACAATACCAAAATCTATCTTTAAATAAAAAAAAGAAGATATAAAACAAACAAGTGAATAAAATGTAACATCTTACTAAACTTGTATCATAATCCCATAATTCATATCATAACCCCATTATTCATACCATAACACCATAATTCATACCATAATCTCAAACTCATATCTTAATCCTATAATTAATACCATAATCCCATATTTCTTATTCCATAATTCTTATTATAATTCATATCAAAATCCCATAAATGTTTTTTTTATTTTCAACCATCAGGTATCAACTTATATAAGAATATCAATTTTAAACTCAAAAGTCACTTCAGAGTTGAGAGAAGACAAGTATAGAGGAGACAAGTATAGATAATGAATTGTAAATAAAAAAGTACTTTTAGAGTTGAGAGGAGACAAGTATAGAGGAGACAAGTATAGATAATGAATTGTAAACGCTAAAGTCACTTCACAGTTGAGGGGAGACAAGTATAGATAATGAGTTGCAAACCCTAAAGTCACGTCAGAGTTGAGAGAAGACAAGTATAGAGGAAACAAGCATAGAGGAGACAAGTATAGATAATGAATTGTAAATCGTAAAGTCATTTCAGAGCTGAGAGGAGACAAGTAGCAAAAGTGATACAATAAAATATTTAATGGCAAAATACTTTTGTATTTGGAATGAAAAAATAAAATTTTTATTTGAAATAAAAAAAAAAAAAATTTTCTTTCTGCTTTCATTTCAAAAATGTTTATTCTTTAATTTTACTTACCATCTTTAATTTATAAATAAATATAAATTTATTTATAAAATAAAACTATATATACTATTATTTTGTAAAGGAACTTTATTTTAAAAATTCAATTAAAAAAAAATCTTACCTTGAATAATTTTGAAACAGTATTGACGTCATCTATTTGTGATAACTTTTTGATAACTTCTTTCTGGAAACATTCAAACTCAACATTTTCTGCAGGTTTGGAGATCAATTGTACTAATGACGGAAGAATTGGTCGAATCTTGCCATTGCTTAGATTCAAGATTCTTTTAATGCTCCCAGACTGCAATGCAATAAATGTATCTTCAGTAGGTAAAAGATCTTCACATTCCATGTTAACTTACATAAGAAAACTTTTGTGACCTCATGAAACATTTGTTACTAAAAGAGCATTTTACTTTAAACGAAAATTTTTTTTAATCAATTTATTTAACCATAAATTTGTAAAAAATTTCACATTTATTTAAAATTTTACAAAATTAGGTTTGGTGTCACTCGTATAGTTAAAAACTAGTTATTGGAGTGACACCTTAATAAAATAAACAAATAAAGCAAAAAACAAACAAACAACAAAAAGTAATAATATAGATAGTGACCAAAAAATAATTATAATAAAAAGAAAACAATAACTATTAAAAAAAGCCAGACTAATAACAAAAAAGGAAAAAGTGAATGAGCTGACATGAGAGGTAATGAATGAATGGGATAACAACATTTAAAAATCAGAAGGGTGAAAATAAAAAAGAAAACAAAAAGATGTATTTAAATATTATGAGACAAAAATATGAAATCACTTAAATAATAGCGACAAATGTAAAACGCAATCATAATGAAAATAATCAACAACGACACAGCAAAAAAAAAAAAAAAAAAATGTACGATAATATAAACAAAAACATGAACATATCAATATAAATGATGCACAAAATTACACGACAGTATAAACAAAAATAGAAATACACGACAATATAAAAAATACATGACATTATAAACAATACAATATAAACAATGCAAACAACATAAACTAATAAAATTTAATAATTTTTTTTTGTTTGTTTTCCAGTTGTAGTTTTTTGAATATCTCAAGAACATTTTTTCTTTTAACTTTGCTTTTAGTTGTTCTGTTTATTTAATATTTTTCTTCAATTTATATTCTTAAATATTTACCTTGTTTTCACTTCATTAGTTTTTTGTAAATCTTCTTAAAACTGTATTCTTAACAATTTTTAAAAAATTTTCTTTTTTTATATTTTAATTTAAAGATATGACTACAACTGGAATATGAAACTTTAAAGTAAAAAATAAAACATCATGCTTTTCATGCTAATATTCAAACATGTTTACAAAAAAGGTTTGTAACCTTTTATTTACTTGATGAATCAAAAAATTTATTATCAAAACTAAGGAAACCTGCATCTCAAAATAAACATTTTTTAATAAAAGAAATTGAAAATATTTTTTAGATAAAGAAAAATAACTTTAATATAAACCAATCTACAAAACTATAACTTTTTCAAAATCATTTTGAACACCCAATCCTTACCCATTCTAACACCCTTACCATCTTCATAAAATACTAGACTTCTGAAAAATATAAAAACTATTAAATCTTTTTTAAATAATAATTTAAAAAAAAAATTTTAAATCAATATTAAAATCCTTTTGAGCTCTGATACTCTGAACATTTTGTTTTTGTACTTAAAAGTTTTTTACCTGAAGATGGCCACTGTATAATCGAAAAATAATGTTTAAACTGAAAAAAAATTGTTATATTTATAAAACTTTTTACAGAACATTAGAAACTACAGATTTTAATGAACCTAATATTCTAATGTTGTCATCATAAGGTGGCGAACAAACTTTTGCAGATCAGTGAATTTAAAAGTGGAAATTGAATGATTGTTTATGTGTTAATTAAGTATGATTGGATGGTTTATGTGTAAATTAAGTGTGATTGGATGGTTTGAGTGTAATTAGATTGGATGGTCTGGTTTATTTAAGATGTATTTGAGTGTGCAGAGTGTAAAAATACATTAAGATGGACACCAATTGTAAAAAGACCATAGTAGGATGCATCATCAATACCAGCTCCTTTTGGAAGGCAGTTTGAAAAAACTTGCATCTTGAATTTAGTTTTATTTGGTTGTGGAGGTCAACTACATTATAGGTAAAGTGACCATCACAATTCCAACACCCAAGTTCTATATTAATATTTTAATGACAATGTAATTACTTAATTATTCCTCTATATGTGTGTACATTATGCGTGCATAAAGTGTTTAAGATAAAAAAATATATTTATCCCTTGAACAGAATTTATTAATTTAACCTTAGAACAGAGTTAATTAATATAATTAGTAAAAATCTCTTATTAATTTAATCCTTAAATACTTTATAAAAAAATTTGTAGAAAAAGTTAACAGGAAAAATTTATTACAAATCTTAAAAAAAAAAATTTTAAAACATATTTCTTTTCTATATATCTTTGAATTACAAAAAATTACTACAAATGTAAAATTCTTATTAAATACATTTTTAACTTAAATTTATTTTAATTATACATTTTACTTAAATTTAAAAACTAAATTACAGTAAACTCCCGGTTGTTCTAACTGGCAATAATTAGAATTTCCCGCTTATTCATTTCCCATGAATTTTCCTTAACAAATTCATTTAATCATCATCAGTTATTCAAACCAGCAGTTATTCGAAATTTCATTTATTCAAAGTAATTTTTTACTCCTCTTGTCAAACACCCCGACAGTTATTCGAAGTTTTCCTTTAGCTCAAGATTACATTATATTGCATTTCGAAATATAACTTTATTGAATGTAATTAAAATATATGTATGTTTATATGTAAAAAAAATGTCATCAAAATATAAAAAAATTGAACACATTAAAAGTAGTGCAATAAAAATTTTAACATAGCATCAACGCAAAAAAAGGCAGTACCATGCCTGTACCATGAGGGGTCATCAGGTGCAATGGACCACCCTTTTTTAATAAACTTTCTTTGTTTCACGCAAATTTTATATTAAAAATTGAGCATAAATGTCAAATTATCAATCAATAAATACCTTGCTTTTAAAGATTAGAAAAAAGTCTAAAAAGAATGTAGCGGAAATGTTTAGAGTTTCTCAAAACAATTTAACTTAGATTAAGCATTAAGACATAATCATTAAGAATCTAGTCAATTTAGAGCTAAGAGACAAAAGTTAAGTTTTAAAAAACCATGATTCCGTTGATAAATTTTTTTGATAAATTGTAAAGATTTTATTTTTTTTATTTTAAATTTGTTTTTTAAAAGGTAAAGACTTAAACAATTTCAAAGTTTTTCTTCTTTTTTACTCTCTTTATCTCTTAAAATTTGATTGTAACTTGAAATAGGTCACTTTAAAAAAGACTTTCAATTATTCAAACTTTTGGTTATTTGAAGTAAATTGTTCCCCTAAGAGGTTCGAATAAGCAGGAGTTTAATGTACATATTAATTGTTAAATGTTACTTGCTTAGAAATTATTACTTGAAGCTAACTGAGTTTTCTAACATAGACACACATAACAAAGCTAACATCTAGTTCAAAAAAAACTATTGAACATGTCACTAAAATTAATAATTTTAAGTTTATTTTAATTTACTCTAAATTCATTTTTTGTTTAAATTATAAAGCCTCACTTTATAATTTAAACAAAAATCATAACAAACAATTTAAACCACTCAAAAACCATAAACAAATAATTTATGATTATAATAAGATATGAAGTAGGAAGTTTTAATATCAAAAACCATAACAAACAATTTAAACCAATCAGGATATGAAGTAGGAAGACTTTGTTGTTGACCCATTTTCATTAAAAACTCTAAATTAGCAAGAGGGGGAAAAAATAAGTAAAAAATTATTTGGAAATCAATATTATTATTTTCTTATAAAAAAAAAAAAACATTGTTAATTTTTTTTATAATTAGGCAAATAGAAAACAGTAAATTTACTTTTAAAAATTATATTCAACCCTAAATAAATACTTATTACAAAGAATTATAATACAAATTAAACTAAAAAAAAAAAATTTAACTAAAAAAGAATAATATTGAACATTTAAATTTCTAATTACACTAATGTTATGTTAATCATAAAGTAAATCAAAATGTTATAATATGGACAAGCTTACATAAATAAATAATTGGAATTTATAAGTGCAATTGCTTTCAATAATTTTAAACAAAAATTCTTTTTAAAAAACAAATTTCAACAAAAAAAAAATACAATAAATTAGATTTATAAAATTTACAATGCTTTTTAAACTTCAGTTATTTTTAAATTTAACTTAAGATCTTCAGTTTAACTTCAGTTTTTTTTTGTTCTATCTTTTATATCAATATCAGCCACAGCCTTGAAGCCATTGACAAGTTGTATTATATTTAAAACATTTTTTGTAAGACTGATCGGAAATGTAATACAAGCTATGACCTTCCACAAACCAAAACCAAACACTAGTGAAAAAAAAAAATTTAAATACTTTATATAACAATTATTTGAAACTGTTATAAAATAATTAAAAAATAAATAATAGTAAAAAATAAAAAAATAAAAAATGTACATAAAGTTAGAATCAATAAGAAACCAATATCAAGCTTGACACTTACATTTTCTTTTAACATCATTTTTAATTTTAACTAGTTTTTATTTTCAGTTAATTTAAAATTGCAAAAAAAGACTAACTGCTTGGTCCACTGGAGAAGTGAAGAAGATATAACATAGCAAAGAACAACTCATTTCCAGCGCACATCGTAAACAAGACAGCCTGTACAGAAAACAAGAAAAAGCATTTTTATAAAAATCTTTTTTTGAACTTGTTAAAAATAATGAAGACTTTTTAATACTTGGGAAAGTTTATAATTATTCAAGTTAATTTGTGCTAATATATAATAAACTAATTATAGTTTTAATGCCAGTTTATGCTTAGCTCATACAGAGTGTAGCAGTAGGTTAATGATTATACTGGTCTTTAAAACTTTGCTTTTTAAGTCCTAACATATATATATTCACATAATGTACACATCAAAGTACCTGGTGATGCAAATTTAAAAATCTTCTAATTTTGTCTGCGGAAAATAATTTAATTTGAATGTTTAAGTTAAGTGAAATTTTGAGTTAACAGTACAACAATAAAACCACCTGTAAAATGAGAACCACTGCACATAATTTGATAAAAATTGGTGCAAATGTAGCATATGGCCACACCAAAATCTGGATAAAATTGAAACCGGATTGGTTAACTAGTTAAGGATTTATGGCAGTTTTAATTTTTATTTTGTTAATTTTTTGCTACTTAGACCTCAAAACATTTCTGATTACTGTGATATTCAATCACTATTTTCAAAATAAAGGTTAAATAAGTTTTCTACTATCAATAATTTTATTATAATTGTTTTATTGCTACATGTACCATTTTCATTCTATAGACAAAAAATATTGATTTGCTATTTGAAGTGTGGTTTGAATTGGCTTATGCATATCATTAATATCTCAACATTTCCTAAAGTATAAACTACTTCCAAAATGAAAAAAAACGTTTTAAAAAAGTACAAAACCTGGCAAAAGGACTATCAGTTAGTAAAATAAAAAAAAAAGCTTCTGTTAAAATAATTTTTTTTTTGCCCTTGAAAACTTTTGAATGCTTTAATTCTGTGAAGAATGTTGGGAACCCAGTTTGTATCAGCAAGTTGCTGGAGCACATCCACATTTTAAAGAAGCTTCCTGCATTCATTTCCCTTAAACTAACCCCCATGATATGGGCTCAGTTAAATGTGGAGGGTAGCTGGCCACAAATTCTATCCAAGCAGTATCTTTAAAAAATGATTGACAACTTCTATATAGAGATGCGATTCAATCGGTGGGATTATTTACAAAATCAGAAAATTGTCAGGCCCACTAATGATGGCTTCTGAATGACATTGCCAAACAACTTTGCATGAGCAACAACCCTGCCAGATTGCTGAAAAGACTTGAGCCTAGATTTGGATGAAACTGAAAACTTGTGACAGTGTTTGCAAGTTTCCAGATTAGGCAAGACACTTAGATTTGATGTCACACCATGTACAGCTGCATACTTACATGGGCTTGAAGACCACAAATTATATTTGTAACATTCATATCACAAACAAAAATTAATTTTTAAGCCAGTACAGGTGAAGAAACCAATCAAGTGTTGACCTGCTCTTAAGAAATTCTTTTAAAAATTTGGCTCTACCATCCTGCTACTTGATGTTTGGTTTACAGTTCTAACCAGTTTCTTTAATCCATTGTTTGATAGTCCTGTATTTAATTGTACATTCAAAAGACTAGAGAGATCAATTTTGGAGCACTTGATATTGGCTGGGCACTACTTTGACCTGAAGCCAAAGCATACATATTTTATCTTCACATTAAACTTTGTTTAAAACTATCAAACTATTCATTTTTAAAGTGATTAGAAACTTTTTAAAAATAAACTTCCATTATTTATTATAACTTAATGCTATAGCTGATGAAAACATTAGTAAGTCTGAATTCCACACTTTGAAAGCCTTTTCATTTTTTAATTGAATTTTTCTTTAATACAATTTAATTCGTTCTGATTTTTTACTATTGTAGTCTATTATAAATGCTTTTGAATTCCTTCAAAGATTTTGCATTGACAGCTTCTTCTGACAATGAATTCAATACTTTATTTGTTAACTTTATTTGTTAAGAAGAACTCCACTATTAATAATTTCTCTGTCATATCTAAACCTGTGACCTCTGGTATTTAAACTTTTAAACAAAAGTAGATTGATAGGCTTAACTTTACCTATTCCTACAAACATTTTAAACATTTGTATCATATGTATCAAAAACTAGATAAGTTTTTGGAGCACTTAAAAACAGTCACAGTAAAAGGATGAGACTTAATTGAATGAAGACTAACGCAAGAATGAATTTTAGATGGCACAAGAGACGCTAGATCTTTAGAACAGTGCCCATTATAGTATCTATGACGATGTGATAATGATTGGAGGTTGGCTGCAAGAGCAGGTCCAACTATATTTACAATGTGTTTTTGCACCTTGTCTAAAAGAGAAAGGGCTTCATTGGAAGATCCGCCCCAGATATGGGAATGGTATTCTATGCAAGGACGAATTTGAGATTTATAGAGATAAAGAAAAGAGTCTGGATAAAGAAAGTGTTGAGCACAATAAAGAGATGCAACCTTAGCAAATGCTAATTTTGCAATGGATTTGATATATGGTTTTCAAGAAAGATCGGAAGTAAGAGTTAACCCCAGAAGATGAAAGGTAGATGACTCATCGAGTACATTACCATTTATAATTATAAGAACATCACAATTACTGCGATAGCGATTGGCTGAAAAAAAATTTGGTTTCATCTTGATTAAAGTTCAACAGCCACTGTGAGCCCCATGCTGTAGCAAAAGTGAGATCCTTATCAAGGTAAGTTGTCTGGACCACAAGCTGTAAAAGCATCTAAGCAGGAAATCACTTTTGATACAAAGCTGGAGTGATGCGAAAGTCAAGCAATGGATTAACCTGTTTGTCTGCTATATCAGGTAGAACGTAACTAGTGGAATTAAGAGATGATATTGATGAAAAGTTCTTTGCAAACAATTTAGCTTTGTCTTTATGTGAGGTGACAAAATCTAGTTCATACAACAGAGTTGAAATAACAGATTTGCCCTTATTATTGATACTGTTAAAGATTCTCCAGATGTCACGAAATTGAAATACAAAATTTTATGACCTGAGAACAGCAGGCTTTGGCTTTAGACAAAACTTTTTTACAATGGTTTCTATCAATAGTAAACAGACATCTGTTTTTAGGAGAATTGTTTTGCTGATAGATATGGGAGTAATGGTTTCGATTGCAAATTGCAGTACAATGTGAGCAAAACTATGGAAAAGAATGAGACTTGACTTAGAATCGTTGAGACGGAGTAAAAGATTCCATACCAGCCTGAATGTCAGAAGCACATTTGTCAGCAGGAAGACAAAAGACTTCTACCCAAGGGCCATCACGAAGAAGATCACGGAAAGTATCCCAGTCAGCTTTAAGGTAGTGTAAGAGGTACATTGATAGGAGGATTCAGATGATGAAGAAGAATGAGATAATAGTTTTAGAGAGATCAAAACATGATCAGAAGCAACTAAGGGTGAATGTGGAGAAGCACTGACTAGGATCAGAAGCAAGACAGAAGTTGAGTAGAGAAGGTAAATGATTCAGGTTATCAGGTTAGCGAGTTGGAAAGTTGACTATTTGTGTTAGAGATTGAGAAAAACAAGTTGTGGGCCACAACACCTACAAAGTTGCTGACACTGGAACCGAGCCATTCTGTGTGATAAGCATTAAAGTCATCAACAACAACGATATTGGCTGATGGATAAAGAGAGAAGACTTATCAGAAATAACACCGAAAAAAGTGCAGTCTTGAGATGAAGGAGAGCGATATAGAACAAAGAGAAAGACGATAAAGTAAAGTAGTGCTAAACAAAAGCACATAAAAAAATAGTCTGTGGATTCATACCAAGTTTTCCAATAAATGGGTGAATTCTTATGAATGTAAATGCCCAGGCCAAGCATGTGACTATTGGAGTATGGTTTTTTTTGTTTTATAGTTTATGGTACTTTAGTCATTTTTAAATTTTTTAATGAACTTTTAAAGCCCAGATAGTACTCAGTACACTTGACTAATAGTAATGAGGCAATTGCTTGGACTAATAGTCCAAGCAATTGCCTCATTACTATTAATAAACCCTAAGCCATAACAAAGGGCTCCAAATGTGGCCTCAACAATGCACACCAAAAGTACGACATGGCCCTGTTAGTACTCTGAGTATTTTTATCGAGACACTATCTCTAGCTTATATACTCAACTATATATATATACTTAACCAAGAGCCCCAAGGCAGGGGGTGTTTTAAGTTTGAGCTACCCTTTGCCTAAAAAAGTGTATCCTACAAGGTAGCAGGACATGAAGCAGGTTGGACTGGGTTACATATTACCAGTTGCACGATAACCCAATCTTCATACATATAGTATTTTAGATTAGAAAGTATTTTTAAAAGATAGATATTTAGATTACAAGGTCTTTCCGCTTTTTCTAAAATATTAATATCTCCTTTTATAACTGAAAACCAAACTGGTGCAGCAAATTCAATACTTAGTATGGTAGCTTAAGAATGTATTTGTTGTGATGTGCAAAAAAAAATTTTATTTTGACACAAGATTAAATTTGATTATGAAGAGGATGTTATAATCTGTTGTTTCTACTTAAGATCATTCGCAAATATTCTTCCATAATGCATCACAAGACATTTGTCAATATTAAAGGAAAGTAACCATTTTTATGACCAAACAACAGCTTCATTGAAATCAGCTTGAACATTTTCTACTTTTTTTTGTTTTTTCAACTGTTGATAAGATTTTTGTATCATCAGCATAAGGGTTTGTTATATTCTGGAGGGAATCAGGCAAAATATCAAAAAAAATAATGGTCTAAGCACGAATTCTTGAAGTAAGCCAATTAAAACTTTTTTCCATGTCATCACTTATTTTGACTACTTGCCATCTTATTTTAGTTTGATGCTAACAACTTGTCAACTTTCTTAAACATTAGTGTTTGAAAAAAATGGAAATTGCAACGGCAATATGCCGGTATTTAAAAAAACTCAAAAAATCAAAGTAACGGAGAAAGCCAATGAGTCGAAACAATATTTTAAAAGTTTTGGATGATTGAAATCAGGTTTCATTGATTAATCACATTTTATGTTCTGTAGTTTTAACTTTCAATATTAATAGTAAAAACATCAAAATCAATGTTACCTTTGATGGGGAAAATTGACAGGGAATATTGACAGGGAAAATCAGGTTTTCATTTATAAAAGCATTGTGAAATTTGTTGTTCAGTATATTAGCTATTGAAAGTGGATCATTAAAAATGCGATCATTACTTTTAATTGCTTTTAAACATTCTTTTTACAGTTTTTTGATTATTTATGTAGCTATAAATAAGTTTAGTTTTTTTTTTGATTTGTGAATTAGTTTTATTACATAGCACTTGTTTGCAGCATTCTTTGTACGATAATTTTAATTTTAACTTTAAACTTTTAAAAAAGTAAACTTTTCTTTTTCTCAAATTAAAGTTTATTTTTGGAATACAATTATAACATGCTTCAGATAAATACAAAAGAGTATCGTACATTTTTTAAACTGAAATTTTTTCAAACCAATTATTCCAGTCAATTTCAATAATAATTTTTGATATTCCATTATTATCAAATCAACAAAACCTTTTTCATTAATAAATGAACAAACTTTCACATAGGTTTATTTCATAAGAGTCAATATTTTTATCTACATATAACCCTACACCACTATCTCCTTTTCCATTACTTCGGTCTCTCCTATATAATTAAATCCTTTATTAAAACTGTCTGGTTGTTGAACCAGGTCTCTGTTATTTCAACTATATTTAGTTTTAACAAAGAACATTAAAGTTTAAGTTCATCCATTTTATTATTAAGGCAGTAGCATTTGTATACATAGATTTTAATTCAAAAATTCGAACTTACACAATTAAACAATCCATTTACAAAACTTAATATTGGATAACAATTCAT